ATCCCCTCCCTCTACCTCTATCTGTGGCAGAATCATCATTGGCATCCCACCATTGTACACACCTGCATTCCACTCCAGGCACCTCGAACTCATCTCCATCCTTCTTCCCCTCCCTCCCTCTCTCTGTCTGTCTGTCTCTCTCACACACACTCACACACTCCACACATCCTGATGCAGCAGCCCTGGCCGTGCCCCACAACTGTCTTTGTGATTAGATTGTGCCCCATTATCTCCTACTCCTCTCAGTTTGTCTAAAGGCCTAGAACCCAGCCTCCTCTGTCCTACTGTTTCTCAAGAAAAAAGTATGCCTCCATCCTCTCTACACCTCCCAACACTTGCCTCACTTAAGACTTATTGTCAGGGTTCCCCTTAAAAGAGTAGGTCCTTAGGGCGCCTGAGTGGCTCAGTCAGTTAAGCGTCTGACATTGGCTCAGGTCATGAACTCAGGGCTCATGAGTTGAGCCCTGCATTCGGCTCTGTGCTGACAGCTTAGAGCCGGGAGCCTGCTTCAGATTCTGTGTCTCCCTCTCTCTCTGCCCTTTCCCCGCTCATGGTGTGTCTCTCTCTCAAAAATAAATAAGCATTAAAAAAAAAAAAAAAGAGTGGGTCCTGGATTTCCAGTGGGTGGTGAGGCCAGGCAAAATGGTAGCCTTCTAATGAGAACACTGGAGTGTTTGGTGAGCACCTAACATGTGTCAGGAACCATGTCAGTTGCAGGGATTCAGAAATTATTGAAACTAATCACTTACTTTGAAAAGCTTACAGTGGGAGCACCTGGGTGGCTCAGTGGGTTAACTGTCAGACTCTTGGTTTCAGCTCAGGGCATGATCTTGCGGTTTCATGAGTTCAAGCCCGGCGGCCTTAGGCTCTGCGCTAACAGCCTGCTTGAGGTTCTCTCTTTCTCCCCCTCCCCCACTAGCACTATCTCTCTCTCAAATAAACTTAAAAAATTTTAAAGAAAAGCTCACAGTGGAAGAAAGGTATGTAAACAGTAATTACTAAATAAACAGTTAAAGGCTTAAGCAGGGGTAGTAAGAAATGCTGAGGACACGCTGTGGAGATAGCCTCCACAGTAGGCATCACCTTGGATGTGGCTTTTGAAGAGTCAAATGGGCCAAGAAGCATACACAAAAATGTCTTACAGGTCTGCAGAAAACAAGTTCACAAAAATGCTACTTTGGCAGCAGCTGAAGCAGGACACGCCATTCCATGCCCATAGCAAATCATGCAAAGCACGATGTGATCTGGAGAGATTAAACCTTGGCCTCTTCTCCTAGGCATTAAATACATTACCTAAATATAAGACAAACTATTCAGAAACAGTGTGCTTTGAGCAGCGGTGGAAACTGAATAGAACCCTGATCTTAAGTACAAAGATCATTGGGGTGGGGGTGGGGGTGGGGGTGCAGGAGCACTCTCATTAAGGCAGGTACCGGTAGGTGGAGTAAAAACCAAAAAAAAAAAAAAAAAAAAATCAAGGTCGGGCAATAGCAGGTCAGGTGTAAGCAGAAAGAGGAGGAGGAAGCCTACGCAGGAACTGAGGGATTGGAACAGTAAAGTGGGTGGAGCCAGCGGGCTCCACCCCCCGCCTCCTCCAGCTCCCCTACAACCTACTTTCTGCGGAGGAGTCCTTCAGACAGGTGAGGGAGGAACTCCTAAGGCCGGTGAGAAGGGTAGGAGGGATTGGGGTTAGGGTGCAAGAAGGGGATATGGTTCCTACCTAGAGTCTGTGGCTTCCTGATATGCAGAGTTCAGGGAATTCCTGATGGGTTGGTTTTGGGGTGCTGCTAACCAGGTGTTGCTGCTGTTGTTGCAGAGGGAACAGGAGGCTTCTCCCCACCATCCTCCCAGCCCTTGTGCTAATTACAGACAAGAAGCTTGAAATCTGAGCTTCCAGAGTGAAGGCCCATAGAGGCTGAGGTACCCTGGCAGGTGTGGAGTGTAGAGAGATCGGAAGTTATCTGGGCCTCCGTCCATTTGTAAGAGTCCCTCTCACATAGTTGTGTCCCTGTGGCTTTGTTGGGCCCACGTACATTTTCTCTGTCCAACCAGAGCATGGGCTGAATAGAGGAAATGGGAAGATGGGGTCAGACAGGGTAATGGTGCTCCTTCCCAACTTCTCTCCCCAACAGGGTCTAAGTGGGGGAAACTGGGGGTTAGGGTGGAGGTCCAATGCAGAACAATTATAGAGAAAAGGCAGGGCTTGCCTCATTACCTGGATTCCACAGATGCTTGGTGGTGAGCACCAAGGCCCCAGGCAGGGCCAGCAAGGGCTGGGTCTTGGATGGTGTAGAAAGATAGAGCTGGAAGGGACACTGCAAGAAGAAGGAAGAAGGGAGGAAGGAAGGAAGGAAGGGCCATTACACAGGAAGTTGCATGAAAGATCCTGGGTTTCTTTCCTGGCTACTCCACACATACTGATACCCTGGGACTCTATTGATCCTAGAGAGAATTATAAAGCTGAAGGGAACCCTGGAGGTCATATATTTTGGCCATTTATTTGATTTACGACTGAGGAACCTGAGCCCCAAAAGTGTCTGATATGGTTACTTTGGAATCTGACCCGGCCAGCATGCCAGTTGCTAGTTTAGACACAATACCCGTGTGTCTTTTTGCAGGAGCCTGGGGAGGGGCCATGGTGCCAAGACAGTTGTGGGGGAGACTGGAGAAGCCGCTTCTCTTCCTGTGCTGCGCCTCCTTCCTCCTGGGGCTGGCTTTGCTGGGCACACAGCCGGACATCGCCCCTGTTGCTTATTTCTTTCTCACCTTGGGTGGCTGCTTCTTGTTTGCCTGCCTCCTGGCCTGTTTTCTGGAATGGGGGTTCCGATCAATGCAGACCGAGAACCCAGGGGCCTCAAGCAATGCACGGTGAGTTAAGGGGCGGGCAGAATTCCAGGAATACACAATGGACCCTTTTTCCTGGTGTCCCTCTCGTCTCTCAGGCATATAGCTCTGCTTCCCTGTTACTGGTATCAATGAGCGGGTGGGTGAGGGGTTAGTGGAGGGGTCTTTTGCCAACAGAAGATAGTAAAAGGGAAAAGGACTCCACTCAGGAGGCCACTAGTAATCTTATTTCTCCTCCCACAGCGACAACGAAGCCTTTGAGGTGCCAACCTATGAAGAGGCTATGGTGTTGGAATCACAGTCCCACCCCCAAGAGCTGGATCAGCCACCCCCCTACAGCAGTGTTGTAATCCCCCCAGGACTTGAGGAAGGACAGCCCAGTGACCCAGAGGGGCCCGAAAGACCAAGACTGGAAAGGCGAGTGGGCTCAGAGGGATCTACGACCTCAGGAAACCCTGGAAGAGCTCCAATCAGCCTTCGGCTTCGGGGACCCCGGGCTGTGTCCACTGCTCCTGATCTGCAGAGCTTGGGGATGCCCCCAAAACTGGAGCCCCTTACCCCACCCCCTGCCTATGATGTCAGCTTTAGTCAACCTGATGATGACGTTTTCTTTGAAAACAACCGGACACCCCCCTAAAAGACTATGCCAGGATATATCATCTCTGTGCCAGACTCACTGATTCATTTGACCAACATTTCCCAGTGCCTGCTATGTATCGGGAACTGTGTTTCCCCGTGGGGAACTTAACACAGAGGGGAGTCAGGCTGCCCTAAGCCTTGCCCAGCTGAGATGTACATAGCACTATTGGAGTCTTCAGGTAACATTCAGTGACCTACCCCATATCCGATATTTCCAGAGTTAGACGAGTGTGAGAGGAGTGACCCAGAGAATCTGGAGAAGGAAGAAAAGAAACATCTGAGTGGCCGCTATGTTGCCTCTGTTCTGGGTGCTTCATCTTCATCTCATTTCCCAGCCTTGTGAGGTGTTAGTACCCTCATCTGAAAAATGAGGATTCCAAGGGTCAAAGGAGTTTGATAATTTGCACAGGGGCACACTGCTAGTATATAGCATAAAAATGGTATTTACTCTTCTGATCCCAAAGCCTATTGTGTTTTCGATACAAGGTCATCCACAAATCTCTCGATCTCTATCTTAGGCAACTGCTGGAGAGAGGTGGGAGACTTCCTAGAGACAGAATGGTGGACCAGTTGTGTCTGCGGGCAGTGTAGGCTGAGCGTGACCAGGAATGTGCCCTCTCTCCTAGATGAGCAAAGCTAATCAAAGCCGTGATAGGCCCTGCTCTCCGTAAGGGTAAGGGGCAGTTTCTGCCCAGGGGCTAAAGATCAGTCTCCAGGGCAGGGTCCCACCCCAACCGTAAGCAGTGGAGTAAACTACCCTGGATTTTAAGACGGTGGACAAGGGTCAGAAAGGATAAAACAGGAGCTTGCCGGTGATGGCGGAGTACCTAAGGCTCCCTCTTGAATCACCCACTATGAACCGCTGGAGCCACATGCACGATGTCTAACTGCTTAAGCCTCACCCCTGCGCTCGGACTGCAGCGTTTTACCCCAGCCCCCGGGGTACCGCTTGCTAAGATCCCAAGAGAACACCAGATTTTCTGGAATTGTGCTTCGGCTGCAATGTAGGTTTTAGCCACTGGGAGATGCTCGGCCATCGCTGACCCACCCTCCTCAGGGGTGCGCTCCCCACTTAGGTCTTCGTCCACTGTGTGGTATCTGTGTAACGCCTTCTAGTGCCTTCTATCTCCTCCTTACCCTGGCCCCAACAGTTTAACTTCAATAAAGTGAAAAGTCCGGCCAAACCCGTCTCAGTAACCTTGCAATGGGCGGTGAAACAGGGTGGGAGGCGCCGGGGAGGGAGCCGTGATTTCCGCGGGAACCGACGACCAATCGGATTCCGGCGTAGGACGGGGCGGTTCCTCGCCTCCCCCCGCCCCTTCCCTTTCCGCCAAGAGCGCTCTCTCACGCCATTGGACGGCGCGTCTAGCGCGAGGGCTCTGTGCCTGCGCACGCACTGGCGACGGCAGAGGCGGGGCAGTCCTCGCCTGTGGGTGGAGCTAGAAGAAGCAGCGCGCAGGCGCGTTGTGCGCCGGCGGACGGGGGAGGGACGCAGAGGGTGTGAGGGCCTTCGGTTTCTTTGGCTTGTGGGCGGTCCGCGCATAGCCCGGGAAAAGCGGTAAATGGCGGCGCCGAGCGCGGGTTTGCGGCCCGCCCTGTACCGAAAGGAGCTAATGGCCGCTGACAGAGGGCGCAGGTGAGTGAGGGAGGGTCTCGCAGGTCCTTAATTGGGCCCAGGGAAGGGAATGCGGATCATGGCCCTGTCGCCCCCTCCCCTCGGAGCCCCTGGAAGCGGCTGTGTCCGCCCGTGCAGCCAAGGGTGGGAGGCCAGGCTGGAAAGGCCAGGCTGAGCCCCCGAGGGGCGCGCGAGCGGCGGGCTTCCTCCTGGCCCTGTCCCCTCTGAGCCGACTTCCCCAGCCTGCTTTGTCCAACCCCAGGGGGCTCTGAACATGAGGAGCTCTCCGGTCCTGCCAAATCTCGGCTTCTCTCATAGATTCTCCATCCTTTCTTTCCCCGAACTCCTGTATGAGGAACTTTGCTCTGTCCCCTTAAAAGCGGATGACACCTGCAGACCTCGCAGTTCTCCCTGATGTGCATTTGATTTGGATTGACTGTATCATGACATGTATTGCTTTGGGTATCATGTTCAGGTTTTCAAAGCAGTTGACACGGGCTTCAGGGTTTGAGTACTTGGAAAGGGCAAGGTGGTTCCGAGACTCCGAGTGTGACTCCGCCTCTGCCCCACTTCTATCATTTCATGGCAGGCGTCACCCTGGATAATATTTTATTTATTTGTTTTTATTTTTTTAATATTTTTTATTTATTTCTAGGAGAGAGAGAGAGACAGCGTGAGCAGGGGAGGGTCAGAGAGAGAGGGAGTCACAGACTCTGAAACAGGCTCCAGGCTCTGAGCTGGCAGTCAGCACAGAGCCCGACGCGGGGCTCGAACCCACGAACCGCGAGATCACGACCTAAGCGAAAGTCGGACGCTTAACCGACTAAGCCACCCAGGCGCCCCCCTGGATAACATTTTAATGCCTCGTGGTCCAGACCCAGAAGATTAATTTAGGACTTTGGAGCCAGATCCTAAAGAAAGACACAAAATCAAGACTTAAGAATTCCCTTTGGTCCTTTCCTCCTTTCCCTTCCTCCCCTTCTGTCTGTGTCCTGAAGTTCTAGATGATTATGATTACTTTGGGAAAGTCCACAATTGTGACTTTCGCCCTAAAGTGGAATGCAGCAAGGAGCAGGTGTGTGGTGGAGAATGGATCATGCTTGGGATTGAACCTAATGAGTTACTGATTGAAAATTTAAGTCTAGAAGTTGAAAGAATTAAGAACTGGGAGTCAGTGAATTCTGAGTATGGATGAGATTGAATAGGCAGAGGCCCTTTGGTGGGGAGGTCTCCTAATGGGATGTCAGCATTCAAGGGCAGGCTAAAGATCTTGTGAAAGAACAGGAACAGTCTCTGGAGAGAGGAACTGGAGAGAATAGTATCAGGGAAACCAAGAGAGGAGAGTTTGAAATGCTGCTGGTAAACTAAGGGAAGAAAGGAGTAAACCTGCTCCACCAGCGATATGTATCCTAAGGAAGTAAATACCAGCATCTCCAGCTGTGATGTCTTGCGGTTGGCCTGAAACACTTACTTTTACCGGTGTTTCATATGCACCATCATTGTTACCAGTTTGGTATTTTCTAAGGTGATTCTTTTTTTTAATTTTAAGATATCTATTCATCCACTCACTAATGTATTATTTAAGACAGAGAAAATGAGCAGGGGAGATGGACAGAGGGGGAGAGGGAATCTCAAGCAAGCCCCACACTCAGCACAAAGCCCGATGCAGGGCTTGATCTCACAACCCTGGGATCATGACCCAAACTGAAATCAAGAGTCAGACACTCAACTGACTGAACCACTCAGGCACCCTAAAGATTTTTTTATTTTAATTTTTTTTAGAGTTTATTTCAAGAGAGCACAGGAAGGGCAGAGAGTCCCAAGCAGGCTCCACACTGCAGGCTAAGCCTGACACAGGGCTCAATCCCACGACTGACTGTGAGATAATGACCTGGGCCAATATCAAGAGTCAGACACTTAACCGACTGAGCCACCCAGGTGCCCCAGATTTTTTCTTTTTAAAGTAATCTCTGCACCCACTCTGCACCCAACGTGGGGCTCAAACCCACAAACCCGGGAACGAGAGTTGCGCACTCTACTGACGGAGCCAACCAGGTGCCCCTAAGGTGATTAAATAAGGGTTTTGATTTCTTTAGATGTTTTGTAGCGGGTTTCTACGGAAGGTTTGGGTCATAGGCGTATTTCTCATAAACAGAAACCTGAAGTTTAAATGGAGTTTCAAACATCACTGCCCCAGACTCTAACCTTAACCTATGTTGGCCACTTCCAACGTTGGGAATGTTTTGCTAATCACTTCCTCTGCCTTAAGATCCCACATGCCAGCCTCTTTGGTCTCTTAGCTCTTCCAGGACTCTGCCTTTCCTGCCTTTATAAATCTCTAACCCAGAGTTAAGCCAAGTGCATCCTATAAATGTATAGTATTTGATCCTAAGATGCACATTCCATGCTCTCCCCACACACACATTTTAACATCTTTGAAATCAGCATGCATCTTTAAATAAGCTTTAAAATTATGAAGCTGTTATCTCATCCCTTTCCCGCTGTCATCAGGCCCTTACTGTTGTCATCCTTTTGGGAACTCCCTAAGGCTGGTGAGCTGGGGGTTAACATAAACTAGACACAGCGAAGATACATATTGGAAATGGGATTTATAAAATTCATAAGTGGGGGCGCCTGGGTGGCTCAGTCAGTTAAGCGTCCGACTTCAGCTCAGGTGTGATCACATGGTTCATGGGTTCAAGCCCCAGCCAGCTCAGAGCCTGGAGCCTGCTTCAGATTCTGTATCTCCCTCTCTCTCTCTGATTTCCCCTGCTCATGCTGTCTCTCTCTCTCTCAGAAATAAATTTTAAAAAACATTTTAAAAAATTTATAAAATTCATAAGCAGAAGTTAGTCTCTTTCCAAACCAATAACAAAACCAAAAAATCCTTGAAATAAAGACATCTCTATTAAGTTAAATTACCAAAACAATTTCACCTTTATGCTTTAACTCTTTAAAGTGATCTCAAGTTATATTGATTGTGTTTGTCATTGGTATTTACTGTGACTTTCTGTCATACTTTCTACTTACCCAGTTCTTATTTCTAACATCATTTTGTCACAGAAACTTAAGTTTTAAAAACCATAGGTAAAATTGGCATAAGGGGGCTACAGAGTATGTGCGTGTGTGCGCCTATCTCATTTATTTCCTGTTAAAGCCAGTGATTGGCTTGAGCTTTTGCCATTGCATTAAATTATTTTATTCCTCACCCGGAATCATTTTTAACATATCACTTTTAGCAGCCTAGATAAACAATACAAAAGGTTTTCTGGAATAATCTCCTAATTAAAAACATTTTTTTTTTAAATATTTATTTTTGAGAGAGAGAGAGGAACAAAACACGAATGAGGGAGGGGCAGAGAGAACACACACAGAATCTGAAACAGGGTCCAGGCTTCAGGCCCAGCCCCGATGCGGGGCTCAAACCCACGAACTGCGAGATCATGACCTGAGCTGAAGTCAGACACTTAACTGACTGAGCCACTCAGCCACCCCTGGAATAATCTCTTAATTAAAATCGGTCTGTCAGAGGAATATTTCTTCTCATAAATATATGTGTGCTTCTGTGTGTATCATTTTTGTCAAGATACGTATTTCCCTCCCCTAGACTGACTATTCATCTCAGAAGATGGTCTCAGTTGAACATACTCCCTAAAAAATTATACATTATTTCCTTATGACCAGTTACTGCTCAATACTGCTTTGATTTTAACCAGATCCAATAAAATAAGCCTAATATTGGTTATTGCAGGTCCCATTCGTTTTGTTCTCTCTACCCATACCTGTTCCACTCCACTCTTTTGTGCCAAATCTTGTACCTGACAGCCTTTCCCTCTGCCTTTAATCTGTAGGATATTGGGAGTGTGTGGCATGCATCCTGACCATCAGGAAGCACTGAAAAAGAACCGAGTGGTGCTGGCCAAACAGCTTTTGCTGAGTGAACTGTTAGAACACCTCCTAGAGAAGGACATCATCACTTTGGAAATGAGGGAGCACATTCAGGTATTCGTAAGCAAAAGAAAAACACCAAATAAACAAATTGGTCATGGGAACATGACAAAGTGTGGCAAGGATGTTGAGCCTTGCTAGGGAAATGAAAATGCCCTTATACCTTAAAGCCTTAAACAGAAAAGACATGTAATTTAAGAACAATAGGAAAGACCTCCCACCATACATGTATTTTTCCTGTAAAAGGATTCTTGAGATTACGAGGAAGGTCGTCTGGAGAGAGAGAATTATAGCTGGATAAGTAAATATGACTTCATGTTGTATTCTTTTATCTTAGGCCAAAGTGGGCAGTTTCAGCCAAAATGTGGAACTTCTCAACTTGCTGCCCAAGAGGGGTCCCCAGGCCTTTGATGCCTTCTGCGTGGCCCTGAGAGAGACCAAGCAGGGTCACCTGGAGGATCTGTTGCTCACTACACTGTCTGGTCTTCCGCATGCAGTCCCGCCGGTATGGAGCCCTAGACGTGTGGTGTGTTGCAAAGGATTCGTTTGGTGGGAAAGGAATTTTTGAGACAGGGTTGGGGAGACTAGATGATGGTTTTATTCAGACTGGACCATCTCCCTAAGGCCTGGCGTGATGGGTCCTGATTTCTTACAGTTGAGCTGTGACAACGACTGGAGTCTCCCCTTCCCGATGTGTGAGTCCTGTCCCCCTCACAAGCAGCTCCGCCTGTCTCCAGGTGAGAATCAATGGCATACATAACACATCCTGCAGATTGGCTTTTCTCTTGACTGGTATCTGACTTTGCCCTAGCACGATTCCTATTTATATTCATACCAGGAACAGTCCCCTCGGTGAATTCGTTAGGGACTAGCAGGAAAGTTTAAATGGGGTGTTGGTTGGGCTGCTGCCTTCCATCACAGATGACTTTTCTACAGCACTCAGCCCTTAGCGCAGGTACTGGTAGGAAATTCCTACCCAAGTGGCCTGGCTCCTTAAAGCTCCTTACTTTAGAATGAGTAAAGACTACATTTTGGGCCACTAGCCCGCTGACTGAGTAGCCTGTTGATTGGAACAAGGCTTTTATCAGATATCCCATTCAGTGGATTAAGTACCTACGGTATGTGGGCAGATAATCCAGCAGAGAGCAAAAGCACATAGGGTCTCTGCCTTCCTGGATTTTATAATTTTGGGGAGTGAGTGAAACCACTAATTATTAAAACCCCAGTTCAGCAGGGTGCCTTAAGTTATAAGGAAGTACTGGGATTCACGCATAGATTGCACACTAGTTTTTGGCTCTCTGTGCCACAGATGCTGTGGAACACTCCCTAGACGATGGAGATGGTCCTCCCTGCCTTCAGGTGAAGCCTTGCACTCCCGAGTTTTATCAAACACACTACCAGCTGGTGAGTCCTGCAGAATGCAAGAGGAAGAATTGGGAAGTGGGATACCCTTCCTGGACATCTGAACTTATTTTGCGTGTATATCTCCTTCCTGCTTTATTAGTTAGAAAATCATTACTGATTGGTTATCTTCTCTGGGCATTTCTCTATATTGATCTGGTGGGGTTAACAAAAATATGGTGGCTTTGTGTTTTTGAAATGTGTTGTTTTTTTAGTTTGGGAGACATAGTTTCTGTCCGTAGGAAGCTCTAATTGGCCTCCCCCACACCCCCATCCTGCCCCAGGCCTATAGGTTGCAGTCTCGGCCTCGTGGCCTGGCACTGGTGCTGAGCAATGTACACTTCACTGGAGAGAAAGACCTGGAATTTCGCTCTGGAGGGGATGTGGACCACAGCACTCTGGTTACCCTCTTCAAGCTCTTGGGCTACAAAGTCCATGTTCTACTTGACCAGACTGCACAGGTACATCTAATGCGTGCATTGGAGGGCTGGGTAACACTTTGGGGCCAGGAACATCCACTGCTTCTCTGCCTGCTGGATAGATGTTACTCAGGTGTTACTCAAGTTATAGTGGTTTTGTTGTTGTTTTGTTTGTTTGTTTTTAATTTTTTTAATGTTTATTTTTGAGAGAGAGAACGAACAAGGCGGGGTCAGAGAGAGAGGGAGACACAGAATCTGAAGCAGGTTCCAGGCTCTGAGCTATCAGCACAGAACCCGATGCAAGCCATAAAATCATGACCTGAGCCAAAGTTGGATGCTTAACCAACTGAGCCACCCAAGTTCTATTTTTCTTTGTACCTTTTTACTCATTCTGTTCTGTGTCTCGCCTTGCAATCTAGTTTTAAAAAAAAAAAAAGAATTCAGGCCAGCCACCTGCTTCAGTGTTAAGTTCTAGGGCACTGTGCTCTCCCTGAGCAGTGCCAGTCCCGGTTTGGGTTCTTAACTCTTTCATGTTCAGAAATTTGGTTCCCAGTCACTTAGGAGGTAAGGAGACACTGAGATTCACCCAACCAATCAGGAAAGATACTTCTAAGCCGTGACGACATAAGACATTTGCTTCTTGGTGGATATTGTTGCTTACACGTCCATTTATTGTTGAAAAGATTACTTTGGCAGATAAAATTCTTGCAAATGAAAGTTTGCCAGAACTATCCTTGGCAGTTTAATAAATTAACATGGGAAAATTCCTTACCCTTACCAGTTGTGTGACCACAAGACAGATCTTAGGGTAGATTACTTCTGGACTAGATTCCTACAAATCACAAGCATTTTCATTATGCGCTATTCCCTGTTTCCCTGTTAACCCCAATTACTGAGCCATACTGCTGACTTAGTTGCCTTTAGATATTTCTGTTCTGAAATTGATTATAGCCTATTGGAAAATAGATATTAATTTTCATCTTTTTCCCGTTTCTATCCTTTTGCTCTTTTTTAAAAGTTTTTATTTTATTTTATTTTATTTTTTTAAATGTTTTATTTATTTCTAGGAGAGAGAGAGAGACAGCGTGAGCAGGGGAGGGTCAGAGAGAGAGGGAGACACAGACTCCGAAATAGGCTCCAGGCTCTGAGCTGGCAGTCAGCACAGAGCCTTACGCTGGGCTCGAACCCACGAACCGCGAGATCATGACCTAAGCGAAAGTCGGACGCTTAACCGACTAAGCCACCCAGGCGCCCCTAAAGTTTTTATTTTAATTCCAGTTAGTTAACATACAGCGTTAGTTTCATGTATACGATATAATAATTCAGCATTTCCATACATCACCCTGTGCTCATGGTGACAAGTGCACTCCTTAATCCCCATCACCTATTTAACCTGTCTCCCCACCGCTGATTCTTTATTTTGATTCCAGAATCCTAGTACTTTCTCAGACTTGCCTTTGGGAATGTCAGTGGTAAAATCAAAGTTCCTAGGAAATTCACTTTGACTTGTTGAGGTAGGAAATCTTTGTCTTCAGCATTGTCTGTGGTCTTCATTTCTGTTTCTCAGCTGTCTTCTGTGAGATGCTGTGTACATGCTGTACTTTTGGTAAGGCCAGTTTCAAAAGTAGATACCTGAGTATTGTTACTTACATGCTCTTTTCACCAGCTTTGCAATAGTAGTCCATGCAGAAAAGTAAACCCATCCTTGCTTCAAAGCCCTGGCTGGAAAAGCTTCTATAAGTCATCGAGCATTCAAGTAGGCTGTATGCTCCCAGTGCCTAGCTGGCTCAGTCAGTAGAGCCTGTGACTCTGGATCAAGTAGGTTATATGCTTTCCTAAGAGGTCTACTGGCATGAAGGGAATAAGGGTACGATGTCAGCCATAATTCCTACAAAGGGAATCCTATTAGAATGCCATTTAACAAAATGAATGTTACTCATGTTTCTCTAGAGGTTTTGATCTAGCCTTTTTTTTCTTTTTTAAATATTTATTCTGAGAGAGCATGAACACATGTGGGGGAAGGCCAGGAGGGAGAGAGAGAATCCCAAACAGGCTCCGTACTGTCAGCACAGAGCCCATGGAGGGGTTCGAACTTACGAGCCATGAGATCAATACCTGAGCCAAAATCAAGAGTCAGATGCTTACCCAGCTGAGCCATCCAGGTGCCCTCTAGCTATTCCTTTTACTAGGAATTTATTATGTCCTAGTTTTCCAAATTGTATACAGTTGATAAGGTATTTTACACTCTTGATAGTTAAAAATACAATGCTGGGGTGCCTGGGTGGCTTAGTTAAGTGTCCAACTTGGGCTTAGGCCATGATCTCATGGTTTGTGAGTTAAGCCCCACATTGGGCTTTCTGCTGTCAGCACTGAGCTCACTTCATATCCTCTGTCCTCCTCTCTCTTTGCCCCTCCCCAGCTTGTTCTCTCTCTCAAAATAAATTAAAAAAAAAAAAAAAATACAATCCTAAATCACCAAGTCCACTATCTACTACTGCTTTTCAGAGGCATTCAGCAGATTTGGTGCGCCTGAGAACCCACTTCACAAATAACATTCCCATTTATGCTAAACCTGATGTAGATTGAAGTACGTATTGGATTCTAGTTCTCTGGTTATATTGTTCTAAAATTCAAATTGCAATTGATGTAAATTTTGAGCACCTATCTGGCTCAGTTGGTAGAGCATATGATTCTCGATCTTAGGGTTGTGAGTTCAAGCCCCATAATGGGCAAAGAACTTACTTCAAAAATTAATCAGGGGCACATGGGTGACTCAGTTGGTTAAACATCCTACTCTTGATCTCAGTTTAGGTCTTGATCTCAGAGTTGTGAGTTCAAACCTCCCCCCCACCCCCCTTAGTGGGCTCCATGCTAGTCATGGAGCCTAATTTAAATAAAATAAACATAAAATAAAGAAATATCAATTAATTTTGAACACTTTATAATGGCTTAGAAGGAACTATGTTTGCTACTAGAAATTTTTTTAATGAGATTCCTGAGTTCACAGGACCTCAGTTAGAAGAAGTAGTCTTGACATCAGCAAAAAAGGAAGTACTTTCCTTTATATTCTTAAGGACCAAGCAAGAGTAGACAACATCTTCTACAGTAGTAAGATGAAGAAACCATCCCCTTGGTAGATGTGGTCAGAAGGATAAATGGATTGTGTGAGACTTGAGCTGGCCTTGAAAGATATAAGCCCCTGAAGCGCAGAGGAGTGGGAGAGGGGTCCTAGGCAGAGAGAATAGCCTCTAGATGGGAAATGTGTTTGTGATGTTAGGGACTTAATGGGTAAACCAAATGCCTACGGCAAAAAAGTCCCCAAAATAAGATTGGAGCTAAAGGGACCAGAATCCCAGGGCCTTGAACTTCCTTGTTTTAGAAAACTGTTAGTAATTTTTTTTAACATAAAGGTGATACATTCACAGTGATGATTCAGGGTGAAGCATGAAGTAGAGACCAGTGGGAAGCCCGTTTGGAGTTTATATCATAATGGGAGTACAGGATGTTGGGATCCTGGAGAGAATAGTGGACCAAGAGGGAAAGAATGTGTGTGGAAAATTGTGTAATGGCATGATTGTACTATCAGCGCTTGGTGGTGAAATGACTGCATACAGCAGGAGAGGGAAAGATTAGGTAAGGAATCGAGGGCCTCAGAGAAATCAGGACCAAACATTTGGGCATTTGTGCAGGAGAAATACTTTAAGGGATAAGAATATGAAATCTTTGAGAAGGAGATTAGAGTTAACAAGACCAAAAGGCATAGAACTGCACCTTTGGGGAATAGCCCTCCCTGTAGCCTAGTCTTCAGCTCTGGAGACTCAGATGTGAGGAGGACGTTGCACAGTCATTTTCCTACAGTGGCCAGTCAAACTCTCAGTACAGTTACAACCAGGTACTTACAGTGGTTATGATAATTTGGTTCTTTGGGCGTCTTTGGGCATACTCTCCACCTGGTAGGACTTCTCAAGAGACACAACTCTTTTTCCATGTCATTATTTGGCAAGCAAAGAAAACCAAAAAGATTTAAGTATTTTTTTCCCTCCCTATTACACCTTTTTGACTTTAAAAATAATTGCATTTAAAAGTTTGAAGTAAGATGAAGAAACCATCCCCTTGGTAGATGTGGTCAGAAGGATAAATGGATTGTGTGAAACTTGAGCTGGCCTTAAAAGATATAAGCCCCTGAAGCACAGAGGAGTGGGAGAGGGGTCTTAGGCAGAGAGGATTTAAATTTAAACTTTAAATTGCATTTAAAAGTTTGACGGTGCTGGACAGCACACTGGTATTCTCACTGCTCGTAGAGGTTTTCAGTTTTCTTCTTGGTCATCAAAGTCTTTTGTCATTGCACCTCCGCGTGAGGTTACTAGTTCTAGAATTACGGTTTATCGTATAGTGGGAAATGAGATAAAGTGGCAGATTTACTTTTACCATGTGGTATTGATTTTTAACTTACATTTGGGTCACAGACTGCTTTGAAAGTGTAAGGACATGCTGTGGGTCATCTCTGGAAAATGTAGCTAGCCATAAAGTTTTGCATATCATTTCAGAGGGTTTTTTAGGTTATTCTCTTGTGTTCCCCAACCTCCAGTTAAGAACACTGCTATTTTTAGAAATACTGTAATTTTATCAGAAATAAATAAGAGATCCTGTTTTAAGCTTTGCTATATTTAGAAACTTTTCCCCAAATGAATAACCCCCGTTTATCAGTTTAGTGCCATTGAATTCAGTTACCAAGTGTATATGTTCTTACTTTGGGCTTTTTTGTCCACTGTTTACTGGCCTAATAGTCGCACTTAAGTTCAAAATGCTCCTGAGTAGGTGCCAAGTGTGTATTTTTACTGACTTCTTCCAGCAAAATTAACTTCAGCTACTGTGTGTTACAGTTCTATTATGGTCACTCCAGAAGAACATTCATACTTATATATTCTCTTGAGATTATATATTCTAGAAATAAATGAATTTTGGATATCTTTATTGCCATAAGATTTCCAATATTATGATTGGCCTCTCTTTGCCCAGAAAATGAACATACTTTTCAGTAAAGCCAAGTTCTTCATATCCAGGTTAGTTGCAGCCTTTCAAGTCTTTTGTATAATTGTCTCCGTTAGCTGCAAACAGAAGTATTCTGAACAAAACGATTAGTAGTTCCCAAACTTTATAATGTCAGAATCACCTAGAGTTTGCTGGGGCCCAAGACTTTGCCTTTTTTACAACTTTCTGGAACTTGCAAGAAATATATTATATGAGTGTGCTTTTTATTGGGGGCTGAATGCATGATAACTGTTCTGCCTGGATAGTATATTCGTGTTCATTATGTTAAAATTCATAGTCAGAATGAACTTGCTTTCTCCCTGCTCATCTCAAATAGGAGGGACCATTCAGACTTCTTAAGTTGTAGAGGGAGACCTAGATTTAATAGTTTGTATGTATTGGATTCTTAAACTGTTTTATATAGTTTGCTGTGGGATGGGCTGGGTGTTTAAGGTAGAGTGATACTCATGTATGGCCATGTGGTGCATGACACACAGGGTTCTTAAGTTGGACTACAAAGTTGACTGGTAGTAGGTTTCTTTGAGAAACGACATCGCTATTCTTTATTAGATGTGCATGTTATGATAATGGCAGATCTTTGCAGCAGGTGCTAGTCATAGCTCTAAATCCTTTCTATGTAGTATTTCATTCAATCTTTATACAAACTTGGGAAAAAATTTACTCTTAATTACCCTCTTAGAAAATGAGTAGTAGAGCTTTGAGGGGCCAAATAATTGGTTCTAATGTGTGAACTCAGGGGCCAAAGTTAGGCCCGTCTGACCCTGTAGCCCATGTATGTAGCCATGGCCCTGTGCTTAATTCTCCATAAAGCGTACTCTTCCCTGGACTGAGCATTTTGTACAGATATCATCATTGTTTCTGGGAACTTAAAATCTCAGACTGAAAACAGCCTAGAAGTGCTGTTATTCTCTGTTATGAGCCCATTAGCCCTTTGTGAGAGCAGCTTATTTCCTTATGGCTGGGTAGGGATTTGATTCATTCCTAGCTCACCTGGTGGTCCTCCTTGTGTCATTTTTATACAGGGCAATTTGCTATAAAAGATTTGGTTGATGGGGCGCCTGGGTGGCTCAGTCGGTTAAGGGTCCGACTTCGGCTCAGGTCATGATCTCACAGTTCGTGGGTTTGAGCCCCGTGTCGGACTCTGTGCTGACAGCCGAGAGCCTGGAGCCTGTTTTGGATTCTGTGTCTCCCTCTCTCTCTGACCCTCCCCTCCTCAAGCTGTCTCTCTCTCTCACAGAAAAAAATAAAACATTAAAAAAAAATTTTTTTTTTAATTTGGTTGATGACTAGGGAGTGGATAAAGTTAACTAGCTCCTGATTAGCTTCATTAGTAGCTTGCTTTAGTCCAGGGATTCTTAATGTATCTCAGTGAGTCTGAATTTTGTGAATTTTGTGAAATTATATTCAGAATTCTGTGTCTGAAGTCATGCATTTTTCTGATGAGTCCGTAGCTACTTTTAACCTCTCATGGGGGTCTCTGACCTCTGTTATCGGTGGCCACATAATCTACAGAACATATCTCATCTTCTAATAGCTTAGGGGTTCAGACACCAAAAAAAGATGGCATTGGTGCAGACTACAGTGAACAACATTAAAAGGTGTTTTTCCTGCAGGAAATGCAAGAGAAACTTCAGAATTTTGCCCTGTTACCTGCCCACCGTGTCACTGACTCCTGCATAGTGGCTCTCCTCTCTCACGGTGTGGAGGGAGGCATCTACGGTGTGGATGGCAAACTGCTTCAGGTGTGTGTCATCTCGTTTCCGACGGCTGTCCCAACTCGGTGACTCCCTGTCCTGTCTGCCCGTCTTTCCTGTACTGGCAGCTGTGGCAAATACAGGACTCAGGAAGCCCTGCGGGCTACTTAACCCCCTTTTCTTTCCTTTCTTCCTGGCAGCTTCAAGAGGTTTTTCGGCTTTTTGACAATGCCAGCTGTCCAAACCTACAGAACAAGCCGAAAATGTTCTTCATCCAGGCCTGCCGCGGAGGTGAGTGCCCCGGCAGCTCGGCACCCGGGTGGTGGCTCCCGGGTGGCCTCCCACCAGCTCTCACTGTCCTGTTTGCTCCTCTCAGGTGCTAGCGGACCCCTTGGGCACCTCCTTCTGTTCACTGCTGCCACCGCCTCTCTTGCTCTGTAAGTGTCTCCCGATGCATGGGGTGTGCTGGGACTTGGGCAGCCCCTGGCTCTCAGGTTGGTCAGCTCTCTGTGCGCCGCCACACCCTCTTCTCGAGACTCTTTCTCAGTGCCTCGCCTTCCTTCCTGAGCACTCTCACCTCTGCACTATTAACCCTGCTGCGCTGGCTTTTGTTACTCACTGCCGTTGAGGAACTTGGGTCTCTTCTGTCTCTCTCTCACTTCCTCTTTTCCTTCCCGCATCCCTCTTCCCCTCTTTTCATCTGCGCTCCATCGTTGCCTCTTCGTCATCCTTGTGCCGTGCAGGCTAGCGGTGCCGAAGCCTCCGGCCGGGCCTTGCCTCTTACTCGTCCCTGAGCCGCTTCTGTCCCCCTTCTTTCTCACCTGCAGCCAGGGCTCCAAGACTAGGCTCCGAAGACATGCGGGCATACTCCTCACCCTGGAGGGAAGCTCTAACTTTGCAGTCACGTTTTGACTTTACCACTTAAGAGTTCTGTCAAGTTAGGGGGTTACTTGATGTCTCTCTACCTTAGTTTCCTCCATATAAAATGTAAATAATGATCAGACCTACTTCATGAGGTTGTTGTGATGAGTGAAAAAAATCACACATTTAAAGGGCCTGCTTAGCACAGTACCTGGCTCATAGTAAATCCACAGAAAATGCCACCCATGGCCGTTATAACATGGTTAGTGCCCTCAGGGGGCTTATAGCTTGGCTTCAAGGTCACTTTGTCCTAACATACAAAGAATTTTTTTGTCTGTTGTGTGTTCAACAAATGTAAATGGTTAATACTGTTAATAACATCCTAAAATCAAGAAGATAATTTATTAAGATTCTACAACGTGCCTACACTAGGCACTATCACAAAAGCAAAAGCAAATGTGTGGGCTCTCTAACTGCTCCTCTCTAAAAAATAGGAAAAGAAATGTGGTGTCTCTCCAAATAGCCTACCAGTAACTAGAAAGAGAAAGCAAATGTACATGAGGTAGCTTGAGAATAATTCAGAGGCCTCAAGCAAGGGTGAAATTAGTAAGATACAAACCGTATGTGTGAACGAGTAAGCTGTAGGGAATGGATCGTTTTAAGTTGGCTTAGTTTGAACACATTTGGTAGAGACCTAATTTAGTAAGGCTCAATTTGGACCCAGAATGAGAAGATCTGGATAGGTGTGGAGTACTAAAGAGGGGCTTTCAGTTGAAACAAGACCACAAGCACCGCAGAACTAAAAGGACCACCCGCCCCCCAAAATGTGCTGGGCTGGAAGTCTGCCCAGATCTGATTTCGAAACTGGGCATCTGTGTGGGTGTGTAGTAAGAAAAGGCAGGCTGAGGGAGGTACAACCAGCTGATGATAAATCTTGAGTCAAACGGATTTTGGACTTCAGATCATTGTGTGGAGCTGTTGGTAGCTTAAGAAATAATGTGATGAATTCTTTTCCAGGACGATAACCGTGCTAGGGAGCTGCACTGAGGAAAGCGTATGTGAGGACAGGAACTTAGTGTCTGTCCCCAGCTGGATGCCCAGGCCCAGAGCACTGCCTGATGTATGGTAGCACTTAATAAATATTGAATAAAGGGATAAAAATTAATCTCCTAAAAAGCTGTAGCAATAACACAGAAAACAGATGGGATATTGTGTTATTGGAAGAAGCAATAAAACTTATTGATTAATAGATCTGAGACATGAGGGCAGGAAAGAGGCTTCTTTTTCCTTGAGGGAACACATTTAGCTTGGCCTATTTCCTTCAGGAGGTATTAGTGGCAAAATGAAATGAAGACACTCGTGATCATTTTCTCCTCTTATATTCAGCGATCTGTGTATAATGTCAGATCTGGATAGGGAGAAATTGCTCTTTCCTGGGGTAATCTGAATCTTCTGTCTCAGAGTAAATCCTTCAAGAGATGACCTTTGAAGATTTGAGCTCACCTGTCTTTTGTTGCACTTAGTTCGTGAAATTACTCTCCCTTCCCCGGTTGACTGGCTCCCAAAGCGGAACGTCAGCTCTGTAGGGCAGGAGACTCTCCTTCACTACATCCCTCGGGCTTAATGCAAAGCAGTGCCTGGCACATGGCAGTTGCTTGATAACTTTTTGTTGAATCAGTGAATTTTGGTCATTTCCCCATAGTTCTTCAAGCTTCACTTGCCATTTAGGCTATTGCGTGTTGCGTGGAGCGGAAAGTACTGGAAAGGAGCACACTCTCTTAGTTTTAGGGTGTTGAGCTGGGGGTCCTCCCTCCCGCCCTGTCTTTCCTACTCACCTCACCCCCACCCTACTCCAAAATAAAAGTGCAACATCCAAATAAGACCATGTCTGGGCACGGATGCAGCCTGCGTCAGGAGGCTGACGTACTCAGGGTATGTTGAGGAACTGCTAAAATGGAATAATGGTGTTCTTTTTCAATTATATAGAAGAAGATAGTCAAATTACCACAATTTTAAGTTTTTCTTCTTACCAGTTTCTCTTAAATCTTGGATGCCTGCTACAATTTGGTTTATGAAGTTAGTAACTTAAAAATATACCAGAATACCTTGGAAACTGAGTATATTTAGTTTCACAATTTTTTAAATTGATACATAGATTTGAGGTGATTTTTACATAGCGTGCATGTAATCATATTGGTTTATTAACTTGTTTTTTTAATATAAAGCTGCATTTATCAATATTTGTGTTTTGCAGTAAAAAGCACTGTGACTGCCCTGTACATTGCTAATTGAACAAGTCCATCATGAGTGTGTGATCTTTAATTCTGTTTACAAGGAGTATTTGATCAGCACTTTCCATCTTACACAGCATGGAGAGAGCGCAGACCCTGGACCGTGCACATGCGCAGATGCTTGAGCATGGTGCTGGGCCTCTGGGTGCTCCCCCGAGGAATGGGCGCGTGCTGAGGCAGGGATAATGACTTTTTTTTTTAAATTCAGCAGGCAGAGGTTGGAGGCAACAGCTGGAAACGGCTCTTCCCGGTCAAGGCTGTAGGGAACTTTGGCTTGCCTGTGGCAGGCCCCAGAGTGATGGGAGGGAATAACGTGTTTGTGCATCCTGTCTGCCTTTGCTACAGACGAAACAGACCGTGGGGTTGACCAGCAGGATGGAAAGACCCACGCAGGGTCCTCTGAGTGCGAGGAGAGCGATGCCGGCAAGGAGGAGTTGCTGAAGACGCGGCTGCCCACGCGCTCCGACATGATCTGCGGCTATGCCTGCCTCAGAGGTATCCTGAGCCCCCAGAGTCCGAGGCCGCACTCTCTTAGCTGTGCGCGTCGTCACGCTGGGCTCTCTGACTGGGGAGGGTACAGGGTGCCACAGGAGGCTAGCTGGGGACGTCCAGCTGCGTGAGGGGTCCTGTGACCTCCAGTGTGGTTAATACCGTCCCGGTTGCAGGCACTGCTGCCATGCGGAACACCAAACGGGGCTCCTGGTACATTGAGGCCCTCACTCGAGTGTTCTCTGAGAGGGCTTGTGACACGCACGTGGCCGACATGCTTGTTAAGGTGAGGAGCCGCCATCTGCGCGGTGTTCTACCTTCCTCCCCCTCCCCCTCCTCCGCCTCCCCCCTTGCACCGTCCTTGTAGCGTCTCTACCCTGCCTATTGTGCCAGGACCATGGAAGAAAACACCAGGGTCTCAGACTGGACCACCGCTTTCTCTTTCCAGGTGAACGCACTTATCAAGGAGCGTGAGGGCTACGCCCCCGGCACAGAGTTCCACCGCTGCAAGGAGATGTCGGAGTACTGTAGCACCCTGTGCCGCCACCTCTACCTGTTCCCGGGCCACCCTCCCACGTGAGGCCACGCCGCACCGGAGACACGGAGGCCTTTTCTCTTCAGACGCACGGTTTCTGTTCCCCCTCAGGGATTGGGAATCTCCCAGGCTTATCGCGCGCACCACACCCCACACCCCTGCCGTGTCGTCATCTCCCCCCTGCCTGCCAGTCCAGCAGGCGCCTCCCTGGCTGGCCTGGCGGCCGGTGTTGTGCGCTCTGTGCGCGAAGCCAAGTGTCTGAGAGGGCACATGGGTTTCCTCGAGGCTGCTGTTCAGTTCCCGCCCTCAGGGCTTCTGTAGATAGCGCTTTGGTGATTGCTTTTATTAGTTGTTTTTATTAGTTACGATGTTTCAGAGGCCATCTCCTGTCTGTCTTTCATACCCCAGCCGCATTTAGCCTCGAGAGGGCGGGCGGCACAAACGGTACACTGTGCCGCCGCATGTGTGGTCGTGACCTGTGCGCCCCCCTGCGCCACCACAAGGCCACCCAGCGGAAGGCCGGTGATGTCTGCTGCTGGCTCCCTGGGGCTCAAGGAGCCCAGCCTCTGGGAGAGGTTACAGCTTAGATGCCTTGTACCCGGAACTCGTTGATCTTTGCCCAGGGAGGTTCCAAAGATCTTTTAATCAGTTATTCTCTCTCAGCTTTTTTACTAAAATGAGCCTTGCAGAGAGTGTCAGCAGAGGCAGATAAGAGCGGTATGCTTCCTCATACTCATACCTGTCCCCTTATCTTCTCTTCCTCTGAAATGTCCTTTTCTTATCATCTCCCTGCTTCCTGTTTCTCCCCCTTTACCTCCCTGTCATGCTGCCACCAAATCTGCCTAAAATACTACTTAATGGGATCATTTGGCTGCTCCAGGATGTCATGTAGTAGCTTGTTCCTGCTTTCTGTTTCAGTATCAAATCCCCTTTTGATTTTATGTGGCCTGTTTCCCCTTCCCGAATGTCTCCATTTTAGAGAGACTGTTGCTCTATGTTATCATCTGTGCCCTATGAACCTTTCCGGTTCTTCACGGCCTCCGCTTGTACTTCCCCCTCCAGTCCAATCTCTGTACGGCAGATTGGGGTCTGGGGTCTTCATAAATCTGATCATGTCACTCCCCTGCTTGGACTTCTGTTACACCTCAAGTAATGTCCAGACTTGTCACCTTGGTCTGCAGGGCTCCTACCTTCCCCCTTGAACCTCATAAAATGCTGATTTCCTTCTAAGTGACAGCCCCAGCCCCTTCTCAGTTTCTCCAACATTCTGAGCTCTTTCCCTGCGCTGGACCATCACAGACACTCTTCTGGGCTTTACTGAGCTCCACACCTCACAAGTCTTGACCTAAATGCCACCTCCCCAGACCTTTCTTTCTCTAAATAATCTTCCGTGTTTCTTTATTGCTGCCTCCTGTTTAATCCCCTCACTGCATTTAGCACAGCTTATAAGTATGTGTTTGCTTGCTTCACATGTGCATTTTTGTCTCCCCTAGTAGGTCGTAAGCTCCCTGAGGGGAGACCCCTTGTCTCTTCTGTTCTCCAGTGTGTACCCAGCGCCTGGCACATGATAGGTCTTCAATAAACGTTTTAGGGTAAAGGAAGGAAGAAAACCACCCTAGCTAGAATCCTACTTTGGGACAAAATTTCCCTTTAAAATATACACAAGTTTAGTATTTATACTCTAGACTTTTCCGTGTGTTTTGTTTTGTCCACTGATACCGTTCACTCTTGAAGACAGATGTCCTGTGCCAGACAGCTTCCTCAGTACCTCCTGTGGTGCTTGGCACAGTGCTCAGTCTGTAGTAGTTCAGGTGCTCAGTAAATAACTGTTCAGCGAGCCAGGTGGTTTGGAGACTTGTCGCGAAGTCCTGCCCTTGGATCCAGATATGGAAGTATTTGGGTCATAGAACCTTTCCACTTCCCACTGCCAGGATTTTATATACCTTCAGGTGCCAAATAAATGCTCATATTTATTACTGATGTGTGCCTGACATCTCTGTTTCCACAAATAATCTTCTGAAGTCCACATGTTCCCATTTCCTTAGCCCCTTACAGCATTCCTCACCACCTTATGAGGTGTACACAGAGCTGAGCACCCTTGTTACTCTGCTGCCGTGGCCTTTGTTACATACACGGATGTGGGCCCATCTGAGTTGTCATGATCGCAGGCAACTGCCCAAAATACAGTAGCGTTGGGATTTTTCATTGTCAGATGAGACCAGAGTCATTAGCAAGCAGTGTTGCTTCTGGATTATGTAGATTATGGGATGAAAGCTGGAGAAAGAGATTGGGTTGGATTAGGAGGATGTCACGATTATAGAATTTACATGGTCCCAAGTTGGATTTAAGACTTTGTGGAGTGGACATGGATTTTAAGAGAATTCAGAGCAACATGAAGGAGATCTAAGCACTGGGCTTTGTAGGTTAGGAAGTTCTTAGGGCGCAGTGTATCTAAAGTGTGTGCCTGGAGAGGCAAGTGTGCAAGTGCAGATGGGCCATGAATGCCCAGCGAGAGATAGGAAATTCTGCAGGAGCGTCTTGGTGGGAAGCATTGGTGGGACCTGGGGGGAAGTGGTGAGGAATATGGAGGAGGAAGAGCAAAAAGTTGAGAAGCATCTCACCAGGGGGAGAGGAGGGAATTGGCTGACAAACAGGGAAGGGCATGAAAAGCATGCCGACCCTGGTTGACTACACTGCAAGGAGAAAGGGGCCTTCCTCAAGAGAGGAAGTGATACACAGTCTCAGGTTAGGAAATTGCTGGAACAGTGGGAGCAAGCAACGTACCCATTTTCAGCACAAGAGAGCTTTTTGGAGGGGTGCTACAGTTGGGGAATTACAGAGCAGCAGCAAGGTCTCTGACCCGGATTGCATGTCCTTCCCACCCCGCCCTTGAATGAGCATCAGGTTGAATTTCACAGCTCCCCTCCCTTCCCCCTTGCTTACCTCTGCCAGGGATTCTCTGCTAAAATTATCCCCCTCCCTGAGCTGGGGGCTGCCTTTCTCTACAGCTCTCCTCCATCCTGCTTCCTGTCAGGGGGAAGAGGAAATTGGGCCATGAGAGCAGAGCTGTGACAGGAGGGGAGGGCAGAGCAGGCGTCAGGACGGAGGAGGAAGGCAGGAACACGTGCGCCTTCGCAGGCCACCCTCCCTGTGGGCCCATGAGCTGTAATCATTTTCCGTTTGTTTTCTCAGATGAGGAAAATGAGGCTCAGACTTCAAATACGCAAAAAAGGAAGAAATGTAGCTTCAAGGCCATGAACTCTAGATGGATTTTGAATGCTGGCTCAGCCTTTTGGGATATTAGAGACCTTGGCTAAGGTACCTAACCTCCTGGAACCTCAGTTTCCCTTAGCTGAAAATGAGAAGTGTTGCTCCCTTAAAAGGTCCCCAAGAGGATTAAATATGTGCAGTGACACACAGTGTTAATGCATTATAAATGCTTGACAGTTGTGAACTCCAGCTGAATGAGCTTCAGTTCAGTAATAGGTGTTCATATTCAGTGCTCGCTTTGGGGGCAAACACTGGAAGTTTTTTTGCTTGCGTTCTCTTATTACCATAATCCTCTAAGCTATTGCCTTTCTAAGGAAACTGAGGTCAGAATGTGAAACAAAATGTTAGCTTGAATGTATGCTCTTAACAGTTAATGACTTCTGTGACTTCCTAGCAGGAGATTTTTTTTTTCCTCTTCACTTTTTTGGGTTCTAGATTTTTCCCACTGAGCTGGGGAAATGAGCCTGAGACCAAAGACTATTCCATCTTTGCACTATTTAGGTAGAGACTAGAGAACAAGCGTATCATGTTTGAGAAACCAGAAGGGAAAGAGACCTGTCCATTGCTATCAGGAAGGCCTCATGCGGGCCTTGGAAGACACCAAGGATTTGCAGGGGTCTGGGGGTCAGGGTCCAGTGGGGAATAGAGGAGCTTACTACTACCCGGGAATACATTAGAAGGTGTGTGCGGGGCGGGAAGTTACAGTTGCCTAGGTGAAACAAAGGCAGGTGGTTGGTCACGGGTTCAGTGCTGGGCTGGATGTGCGGCGGGAAAGTGATGTCTGGAGGCCCTTCAAGAGAATGAAATGGTGCATTGTCCAGTGGGCTGGGGAGTCAGATTTGAAGAGGTCTGAAAACAAGGGTGTAACCCAGAGAGAAAGTTCATGCTTAAATTGATGGGAACCCATTGGGGGCGGGGTGGTGGCTCGTTCACACCCTCCTGTACTCCAACACACACTGTCCCCTGCACCTATGTCCCATATGGTCATTTTTCACAACCTCCCTTCAAATAGCAATTCCATAAGCCTATAGGTTTTACCTTTTAGTGTCCTAGACATCAAGAAATCTATTCAAGGGGCGCCTGGGTGGCTCAGTCGGTTAAGGATCCGACTTCAGCTCAGGTCATGATCTCCCAGTTCATAGATTTAAGCCCCACATCAGGCTCTGCACCAATTAGTGCAGAGCCTGCATGGAATTCTCTCTCTTATTCTCTCTGCCCCTCTCCCACTCACACTGTCTCTCTCTCTCTCTCTCAAAAACGAAGAAAATAAACTTTAAAAAAAACCATTTAAAACCTCAGAAGAATTCATTCCTTACATAGTATACATACCTTATAGAACGCATGCATGCTTATAAATCTGTTTCCAGATTGTAGAGCTTTTCACAGAATTCCCCAGGAACCCATCTTCCAAATAAGAACTCAAGCACTGTACCTATCTATGGGTTATTGGGCAGGGGGTGGTCATAGTTTACATCTTCTTTTATTTTTTTTGAAGACTTTAAGTAATCTCTACAGAAGTCAGCATGGGGCTTGAATTTACAATCCTGAGATCAAGAGTTGCACACTCCTCCAACCAAGCCATCCAGGCACCCCGACATTTTATTTTCTTGTTCTCTTAAAGATGATAACCCATGAGCTTTTAACTATTTCCGATGTCAAACCCAAGATAAATTACTCACAAATCCTTGCCCTCTGCGGTAGCAGCGGCACATTTCCTTGACTCTCCCGATTTCAGAATCTGGTTTCTCTACTTCCCAAGCTGGTGTTTCTACTGGGCTTGGTGGCGTGCTGATGTTCCCAGTCCCACTGGTCTCTGCTTTCCAATCCTGGAATCCATAACCACGTCCTGATTTCCTAAGGAAAGGTGAAGAAACAGTAATTGTGTTAGATGCTTGTTTCTCAGGACTATCCAGTGTCTGTAGAAACTGGCTACATTCAGGAGAGCCCTCCTCAAACAGGTGACAGTGTTTTCTGTTTCTGAAGCTCCCCCTCCAAAGAATCTACTTTGACTTTGGCGCTCTATTCTCCTTCGTAAGGGAGTCCATTCTTCTCACACCAAATCCTCAGATCTCTTTCCTTATGTTCTGCCTGCAGAGAAGGTATCTGTCAGAGCCTTCAGGCCCTCGCACCAGCACACATTTGTAATCATTGGTTGTGGATTATGGGCCTTTGAGCTGGTAGGATTTATGTTAGAAAACAGGCTTTTGATGGCATCCATCTGCCCTGCTTTGGACAGTGCCATTTAGCAGAGATCAAGGTTTAATTGCAGAGCAAGTGATTGGTGTCCGTACCCTACAGTCCCTGAACTTGGAATACCCTGAGGCAGACCCCACTTGGTGACAGATTCTAAACTATGCTTTGGCTCAGGTTTGTAACTTCTTCTATAGTGAGGAGTTCACAGGGGAAGGAATGTCCTAGGAAACTCAGCTAAAAAAAAAAGTGACGCCAGATAGAATAGTTGGGCCTTGGCCAAAACTTATTTATTGACCTGGAAAGGAAAGAGTGACAGAGAACTTCCCCGTCATCTTTTATGTTTGTTGGGCTCGTGATGAGAAACACTCCCTTCCCCCACCCCCACCCCATGCCCCTGACCTGCGTCTCCTCCTTCCCTGTTATCTAACCTTCCGTGACAGACCTAGGCAGGTGCTCCACAGTCTGCATGGAGGCTCCATCCCTCCCTGAGAGTCCAGGCTTCTGGTGTGACTGACATATCTGTCTGGGAAGTGGGAGAAAGGCCAGAACCCAAGGCTGTTACCCCTGCTTCCCACACCCAGTGGGTAATAAGGGTGGCGTCAAGGGGATGACCCCAAAGCATTATTAGCGGCCTCTGGCAGATAGAAATAGCACAACTGGAGAGGAAACCTGAAAACTGGCTGGGATGGGAGAGTTGGTCCCTCGGATGAGGACCCGATCTTGGGAAGATACTGCGTTGGGAGCCACCAGACAGGGAAAGATGGCAGAGAGACACCAGTTACTCTCTCCGGTGAGTTACCTTCCAGGTTCCCAGGCCTTAGGATCCCTCCATCCAAGGCCCACCCCTCACCTTCCCTCGGGGGAAGCAAGGCGGGACACCCTGAAGATGCAGACAGGGTGCTCCCTGGGAGCACACAGGTCTGAGAGCATGCCTCTTTCTGTGCTGGTCCGGGCAATATTTATAGAGGGCCCAGTGGCTTGGGGCTGGAAGCCTCCCTGTGCCTATGGAGGGGAAAGGGCTGCCAGCCCCACTGAGGGAATTCCCTGCGGGGCCTCCCCTCAGGTTCTCATCCCAACCCCACCCCCGCACCGCCCTCACACCTGCTTCGACCCCAAGCAGATCAGATGTGGCAATGGGGGGGGTCATGTGACGGAGAGATGGCTATAAATAGCTGGGGGTGGGCATGCTGCCCCAGACGCCTTGGGGACAGGCAGGAGGACGGGCTTAAGGAGCTGTACTGGGGGCGGCCAGGGGTGAGCAGGCCAAGGCCTGGCCCCGGGAAGGAACATGGAGCCGTCCGAGTCCCAGCGGCGCGGGGGCGAGCAAAGCTGGTGGGGTAGTGCCCCCCAGTACCAGTATATGCCCTTCGAGCACTGCACCAGCTATGGACTACCCTCCGAGAATGGGGCCCTTCAGCACAGGCTCCGGAGGGACGCAGGCCCCCGTCCCAACACCCGCCCCACGCAGGTAAAGTCCTGGGGGGAGGGGGCAGTGGAATCAGGGAGACAGTTGTGTGACGGCTCTGGGGGAGATGAGGAAATAGGTGAAAAGTGGGAGAAGTGTTCTGTTTTAACTTTAAAAAGTACATGGCGATGTGTTCAAAATACGAGAATCCTTCAAAGGGCTGAGCTCAGCTAAGCGTGCGTGTATAGAGAGCCCCATGCACTTTTACATAACCCTGACTAACACCCGAATCCTAGGGGGAAAGGCACAGCCACACAGGCTCGACTAGCTCGTGCTTACATAACCTGCCCAGAGTGGTTGGCGTGGGAGCCCACACCTCTGTGTGTGCAAGCTGCCTCTTGCACCCTCACCCCCGCGCAGACGCCACCAGCTCTCTCCCTGCTGACCCTCTGCAGAGCGCGCATGAATAGACACTTCTGCACAGGGCAGAAGAAAGGTGCTGGGGCAGGGGGAGAAGACGAGCCGAATTGCGGATCGGTGATCAAAGAAAGGTACACCGGAGTCAAAATGAGCAGAAGAACTGCAATCTAACTTTTGGGTGGGAAGGTTGATCAAGTAAGAACCTATCAGGTGGTAGGCGCCCCGGGGAGGTAGAGGTGTGCGCTCCCAGTTTGCTCACTGGGGGTGTCTGGATGGGTGGGCTGCAGACATCTAGCATGGAAAAGGGGACGGAAGGCACAACTATGAAGGAAAGCTTGCAAGGTTGCCGCAGATATCCGCGCGGGTGACAGTCCGTAGGGACATGTGCGCGCACAGGGTCACGGTGGATCCTGTCAGGACCAGAAACCAGACTTTAAAGGTGTTTTAGCTAAAGATGGTGGGGAGGGGGTGTGATGAGGGGGATGCAGACAAGGCGGGGAACCAAGGGGTGGCCGTGCAGGTGATGTCAGCACGGGGTGGTGGGGGGGACAAGAGATTCCACACAGCAGTCCTCATCATCCTGGAGATGGTTACTAAGGGCACCCCTGGGGAATCAGTGGGGGGTGGGGATGCAAAGTCAGGGGAGATGGGGATGGTGAGTGGGGGGAGAGGGGCTTCCCGGAGAAGGTGGGGCCTGGCCTGGCCTTGCAACTCCAGACAGGATTGGACAGAAAGGCCCCTCCTCAGGGCCCTGTGCTCCTCTCACCAGTCACCACATGCCTGGGTGGGGTGAGTGAAATGCCATCAAGACATGGGGACACCAGCCAAAGTAGCAGGAAGCTTCGTGATGGAGAGGAATGGTGAATTAATTTGGGAAGTGGAGCTGGCCTGAAAGCAAAGAAGAGGGGTTTGGACTTAGGTTCTTCTCTGTTCATTTGTAGTATGGAAAATTTCAAACTTAAAAATAGACCCATGTAATGAACCCCCAAGTACCCCTTACCCAGCTTCAATAATTACATTGTGTCTACACTGCTTCATCTTCCCATTCCCAGCCTCACCCCTACACACCCATGAATCCCAGCACGCCCCTCCCACTTGAGCTGGCCCTCCGCTCCCCCAACCCTGCTCTGATGTGGCGCTTAGCCCTGAGCCACCCGGCACAGACCTGGCTCTCTCAAGGTGTTTCCCAGCCAGGGTTTGCTTTAGAGCACCCCCTTCCGTGCCTCCGCACCCCCTTCCTTGCCACCACCAGCTTGGGGCCCCAGGCAGCTGAGATAGCAGGTAGAGGGATGTGCACTAAGCCACATGGGTAGCGTCTGCTCTCCTGGGCCAGGTAGCGCAGGGAGGGACACACTGTCTCTCTCAGCCACCAACTTCATCCCGGGAGACAGAACAGCCGCGAGCCGGGCAAAGTGTGCTCCTGTCCAGAACCGGGGCGTAAACTCTGCTGCTCGTATTGTGAAATCAGATCTCTCCCACCAAGGGCTCTCCCAGAACCGGCGACATGGCCTGGCCTGACCCTGGCCCCAGAGGCGGAGCTAGTGCAGTGGGGGAGGACAGACCAAAAGCAGTGAGAGCCCTTGCTCCCCCTGCCCCAAACACACGTGCTCTCCATGGGGACGAGAGTGGAGGGCTCCCAGAGCTGAAGGGCGCCGCTCTGCCCTCTCCACATCGTAGGAGCGTCTGGTTACTCTGTCGTGGGAAGTCCCTCACCAGGACTGCTTCCTGTTTGTGCCCATGAGCACAGGGAGGTGAGGCCGGTGGGCTTCCTCTGAACTTGGCAGAGCAACTGAGGGGCCTCAAGAGAGGCCAGACACACCAAGGCAAAGGTAAACCAAGAGTCCCCTGCTAGTCTGTCCTTACTGGTCACATCAGGATTCCCGGGAGGGAGGAATCTTCTCTCCAGTGCAGAGAAGGGCGGCTGGGATAGTAGAGAGAGACTGACACACAGTAAGCAGAGTCACACATAAAACACCTGGTTGACACAGAGGTCCAGCCTTAGCAGAGTTCCTGTGTCTCTTCTTTAGAGTAGAAACTGGCCTCCTTGCCAGCCACCAAGATGAGGACAAGGTGAGAATGGACACGTGGGTAAAGGCATCAAGAGTAGGAGCGCGGAGACGGAGGGTGGAGGGCAGGGACCACCACGAAGCGACCCTACGTGAGGCTCTAACGCCCAGGAGTTTAAAAAGCATTTGTTTTCCCTGTGGGTCTATGTGCTTCTCTTTGTCTATTCCTTTGGACTCCAACGGCAAAAAACAAAAAAACAAACAAACAAACAAAAAAAACATCTCCCATTCTCTGTGTCCAGATTTATGGCCATCACAGACAGCAGCTCCCACACAAGGAGCAGGGCACGGGGGTGCCCCAGAAGACGGGCTCCAGTGAGAGCGTGGATAGCAAGGATGCGGATCACTATTCTAAATGTCAAGGTGACGGGGGCTGAGGAATAACGGGATCTGGAATGGAAGGAGGCACAGGGATTAAGAGAACTGGGACATCCCCTTGCGCGTAGCTTCCCCTCCACCCTGCCCTCGCCCACACCCACGCTCCCCCACTCTCCCTCCCAGCCACCCCCAGGAAACGAGATTGCTAGAAGGAACTCGGGCATCCCACGGGGGAACTCGGTGAATAAGACCCCAGGGGCCCAGCTCCTCCGCTCCTGTCCTCAGTCACAGCCCAGAGCAGTGGCTGGTTAGCCCCTCTTTTTTTTTTATCCCTCCCTCTTCCCAGACTGTATGCGCCGCCTGGGACACGTGGTAAGAAGGAAATTGGGAGAAGACTGGATCTTTCTGGTGCTCCTGGGACTGCTTATGGCTCTGGTTAGCTGGAGCATGGATTATGTCAGTGCCAAAAGCCTTCAGGGTAGGTTTAACATGGTCCTTTATCCTCGGGCTCTCCCCACACAGCGGTTCCTAGAGTTTCCACAGTTCCTGCCTGGGATAAGTTGGGCATGTTTTGGGAGGAGGGGGCGCTGCACAGAGGAGGTCTGGCTCAGGAGGCCAGACCCAGACCCAAATCCAATTCTGCCCCTTCAGCTGCTGCCCGCCAAGCGCGCCCCTCTAACAGGGTGACCAGCTCATCCCCATTTCCCCAGCGCGTTTCTGGTTTGGGCACCGACCACCCTGAGTCCCAGGCACCCCCCCCCCACCTCCCCATTCTGGGCAAACCAGGGCAGGCTGCAGTCCCAGCACTCAGGAGCGGGGTTTCAGGACTGCCGTGGACTCTGCCTCCTCCAAGTTGGGGGAACTTGGACGGCTCACGGCACCTCCAACTCAGGCTCCCTTGTGTTCAGTGAGAACAGTAGCATGTGGGGAGGGCAGACGGGACAGGCAGGGCGTGAGGACGCTCCTTGCACACTGCGATGTGCTGGCCCGGGGGCGGGGGGTGGGGGGGGTGACACCCCGCCAGGCGGGGACTGACCCCAGGCACGTGTCTCTGCAGCCTACAAGTGGGCCTACTACCAGATGCAGCCCAACCTGCCGCTGCAGTACCTCGTCTGGGTCACCTTCCCGCTCACTCTCATCCTCTTCAGCGCCCTCTTTTGCCACCTCATCTCTCCCCAGGCAGTTGGTGAGAGCTCCCCTCCACCCCCCACCCCCACCCCGTCCCACCCCGTCCTGCTGTCAGTGTGGTCTCTCTGGTGCGCGGACCCTGGCAGCCCTTCCCCCTGCTTTGCCATTGTCTCCCCTCACCGCCTCCAGCTGTCTGGTTGTCTGCCTTTTAACCTCTAGCTGGAAGCGGCACATAATCGCCCTTTGACCCTTCTAGGCTCCGGGATCCCCGAAATGAAGACAATACTCCGTGGGGTTATCCTCAAGGAATACCTCACCCTCAAGGCCTTTGTGGCCAAGGTTGTGGCCCTGACTGCAGGGCTGGGCAGTGGCATTCCTGTGGGGAAAGAGGTGAGTCCGCTGGCACTCCGGCAGAGGGCAGCACTGAGCCCGGAGGGAGCTCTGCGCGCCAGCGCCACCCGCCCGGCTGGGGAAGGGCCAGAGCCAGGGTGCCTTAGGGAGCGGGAATACTCGGGAAGGTCCTCGTCCTGGGGCAGAAAAACAGAAGTCTGGGCCGGCAGGGCCTTCGAGCACAGTCTCCCAGCCTGGGCACTGTGGACATTTCGGGCTGGGTCGTTCTGGGGGGGCTGCCCTGTGCATTGTGGGAGGTTTAGCAGATCCTTGGCCTCTACTACCTAGATGTTGGTAGCGCCCCCTAGTTTCGAGAATCAGAATGTCGCCAGACAGTGGCAAATTTCCCTGGGGGGCGGGGTGGGGGGCGGCTCTCCCCCAGCGGAGGACCACTGCCTGGAGACACTTCAGACCAGTTTCCTCGTTTTAAAATCCGAAAGCTGAACCCCGGAGAGAGGCTGTATTTGTTCAGGGTTCTGTTCACGTGCATTCTTGCCCGGCCACAATCGGGCATCCGCGCAGCAGCCAGGGTCGTCTTCTCGCAATGGCATCAGTACTGGCTGAACCTCTGCTTAGGAACGTCTAACGGCTTTCCCGTCTTCTAAACATCAAGTGCAAGGGCCTCACTGGGCCTAGGAGACCTGTGCTGATCTGGCGTCTCTCTGACTGGTCTTCTGCCCTCCCAAGCTGCCCCTTGTTCACTGTGTTTGGGTGACAAGGTCTTCCTGTCCCTCAATCACACAAGCTGTCCCCGTCCCAGGGCGCAGCCTGGAGCGGTCTCCCTCCTGACACCCACGTGGCTCACCGCCTCGTCTCAGTGGAGACACTGCTCAATTGTGACCGTCCAAGCGCCTTCTCTAAACCCGCATCACACACCCTCGTCTGTCTGCCTCTCACTGTCCTCTCACCCTTTCTCATTTCCCCCACCGTAGCCTCCCCGAAATGCTGGTCCATTCCCTCCTTGCCCCCGTGGGATGAAGTTCACCAGGGCAGACCCCCTGTCTTGCTCCCTGCCGCATTTCTGGCACCCAGATCCGTGCCTGGGGCCATAAAGCGTGTCCACTGAAAGCCCCTCGGCCTCCCCTCTGGGGCCCTGCTCCTGACCCCTCGCCCCCCTCTCTGTCCCAGGGCCCGTTTGTGCACATCGCCAGCATCTGTGCTGCTGTCCTCAGCAGGTTCATGTCCATGTTCTGCGGGGTGTATGAGGTAAGGCTGAGCAAGCGAAATGAGGAAGGGCCTGCGTGTGTTTGAGGCGTCGGGAGGGCTGCCTTTGCTCTGGGCTGGCCATGATGCTGAACGGGGGCGTCGCGCTAACCCACGCTCCTTTATTCTCCACACACGTCCCCCCACCCGCGTTCCCCAGCCTTCCCCGGGCCGCCCTTCTCCACCTGCGCCCCGGCTCCTCCAGCCTGCAGACCCCCCAGCTCCCCGCGCCAGTGCCCCACCCCCACCCCACCCCCGAATCCGCGCTTCCCTGTGTCTTCCTGGTCCCCCCACCCCATCCCTGCAAGCACTGCTGCCGGCCCAGCCCTCCACCCGCCTTGTCCCGCGTGCTTCTCTGTTGCAGACCGTGTCTGGGCGGCTTGATCTCCTGGTGCCGGCCTGCGCGGTGGGCGTGGGATGCTGCTTTGCAGCCCCTGTCGGAGGCAAGTCCCACTTCCTCCCTACCCCGGAGCACGACCTGGAAAGGGGTTTGAGTGGCTGCCTAGGCTTCCGGGTGGAGAGGGCCCTCGCCGAAGGGACTGCTGGGTGGGCTTTCAAGGAATGACCCTGGATCACAGCCCCAGGGGTCCAGGTGCCCACGCTTGTCTACCGAAGGGCTGTGCGTTCTTTCGCGGCTGGCGGCTATTTTATGCAAGCTTTTAATGGTAGCGTCTGTCTGAAGTCCTCTCTGTTTCTCTTGCTGTTGAAACTTCCTGCCTGTGTTGTTCCCATCTCGAGCCCCTCTCTTGACCGTCATTTATTGGCTTACCTGCCTTCCATATATTTACCTTTTCTTTCCGTTTCTATATTTGGCTTGCCCTATGAGGTCACTTCCTGTTTTCCAGACTAACTGAGTTTCTTTTGGCCTGGGAATCACCGGGGGAGATGGGACGGCTCACAGTGCCTGTGACTTAAGCCGCTCTTTCTGCCTTATTCCCCACCCTTGCCTGTTCTCCGTTCCTCTCTGCCCCCCTTCCCTGCCCCCCCCCCTCTGTCTGTCTCTCTCTCCCCTAGTAGCAGCCATACTATTACACTGACATGCTGACGGTGGGCTGTGCTGTGGGAGTTGGCTGTTGTTTTGGGACACCACTTGGAGGCAAGTGATTACCCCCTCCTACATCAGTCCGCTGCCTGGCCCTGTTCCCCAAGTGCGACACTGCCCATTAAAACAGAAGTATGACAAGAACAGCAAACTTTTAGTGAGCATTTACCATGCGCAAGTGATGGTCTGAGCACTTTACACTTACTCCCGCTAAAAACTGTATGAGGCCGATGGCAGAGGAGAGGGAGGAGAAAACCGATCACAGAGACGGTGAGTGACTCGAGCAAGGCCGCCGTTAGCGAGAGGTAGAGCCAGGAATGAAAACCAAGGCAGCCCCCACGATTCCCCTACTTGTAATCAATAAAGCCTGTCGATATTGTTGGACATGTTTGCCCTCCGCCTATTACGTCTTCTAACAGGGGACCTTGTTCTCCAAGGGAGAACTTCCGTTTGTGTGTGTTATCAAGGACACGGGGCTTTGGGTGGGGTTTATTCAGACTAATGGTCAGCTTTAACGAGGGCTGCGGATGGGAATTAAAGCACCGTTGCTCCCAGACAGCAACTTAAACCTGAGATTAGATCTCTCTGCACAGGAAAGGCAAAGGGCAGCTTTTCTTTGTCCTGGATCACTAACAAATGGACACCAACAAAGAAAGCAGCCGTAACTGTTTGCTTACGGGTGTCAGTTGTAACAAGATTAACTCAGGAGGGACTACATGGATCATTCATTCATTGGATTCATTGGTGATAAAAAGGGCACCAAGTTGGCAATTGGGGAAGCAAAAGTGCAGGAAAAACATATGCTCCTTAAACACACCAGCTGTTAGAGGTAGCTTTTCAGTTATGAAAATGTAATCGGCCCCTTCGTAGAAGCGTGTGCGGGAAGCTCACACATCTCGGCTCAGGAATCACTTACGAATAAGGGTTCAGAAGGAATGGAAGTGCATCATACTCGCTTGTCCTGATGCTGTGCTGGCTCGCACAGTGTAAGATCAGCCCGCATCCTGTCTGCACTTCTGGTGTTAGCTCTTGTCGTTAAAGTCACTAGTCCCCGTGAGTGAGGGGTGTTAGACGTTCACACTGAACATTTGTACCCACTTTCACCTTTACTTTCTCTTTTTGCCTTACAAATCCAGAAGGTCTAAAAAACATTTTCAGACAGGTGGAATTTTTAAATTTTTGTTTTTAACCAGCCAGATTATTTTAAAATGAAGAGACTGTGTATTTTTTGCATAAAACTGGAATGTCTAGGGTGAATGAGGAAGGTTTCTCTTGGTCCAGGGTAGAATACAGGGAAGACGGTAAGAGAGTTACAGATAAAACATGGCTCTTGACCTGAGAAAAGGTTCAGTACTGAAAACTTAAGATGCCATTTTCAGGGGCACCTGGGTGGCTCAGTCGGTTGAGCATCTGACTCTTGATTTCAGCTGAGGTCATGATCCCAAGGTCTTGGGATCAAGCCCTGCATTGGATTCTGTACTGAGTGTGGAGCCTGTTTGAGATTCTCTCTCCTCCTCTCTGTCCCTCCCCCACTTGCGCGCGCGCTCTCTCAAATTTTTTAAAAGTTAAAAAAAATAAATATTCTGAAAGATAGGATTATTTAATTATTTTTCTTTTAAACATAGAATAATTCTGAAAGAAAAAAATAGTAAAATGGTAATTTATTCATTATATGGCCAACTCTTCATCCCTTACACCAATGAAAGAAATCTGCTTCAACATCCTGCTACAGTGACAGACATCTTTTTGCTTCTGTCATATGCCCTCTGTGCTGCGTGCCCTCTGGGTGTGCTGGATCCCATTGTCTCAGGAGCTCACAGTTGACAGGGTAGATGGGCAGATAACCCAATCGTCAGAGCCCACCCAGAGAAGTGTCTCAATGGCAGTTTGGGCAAAGGAAGAGGGTGAGGGCAGGGTACTCTAGAGAGTAGAAATAGCATCGCAACGTCAAGATCGGGGGGCTGTGATTGCAGTAGATGAGAGCATTGCTAGAGGAAATGAGAACAGATGAGTCTGCATAGGGAAACCATAAAGGAAGGAAATCATGAACCGTGAAGGTCCTCATAGGCCACGCACAAGAATGTGGATTCTATTCTCCAGGCCACAATTTGTCCAAATGTGCTTTACAGAACATAGTTCCCCCACGGCATTAATAGAGGTAACATGTGAAAAGAGTTTCAAGGTCAAATAAGTTGGAAAATACTGTGTTAAATATCTAGGTCCTTAAACTGGAAGAGTTATCAGAATGTTGGATATGCTGGCATGCTTTGTGAATATGCAGAATGTGGCTCCAACACAGCATTTCCCGCACACTCCCTTCTGCAAGGAACTTCTTTCTCAGGAGACTCAGGATCTCACAGATCAGACTTTCGGCAGTGCTGTCACGGGAAACGGGAGTCATGGAAGAATCTGTACAGGGAAGGGAGGGACACACGACAGGCCCGGCACGTCCATCCAGTCCCTCCGGCAGATGTGTGCAGAATAGAACCGGCCCATGGATTAACAGAATTAAGTCCAAGATTAACAAGAAGACTATTGTCACAGCCCTGATGCCAGATGATAAGAGACTGAACAGGATGGAGGCATCCTGGACAGAAGAGGATAATGCGTAAAGATGATAGAAAGTAAAACTGATGCGACCTGGAGGTTGATTTTATGTGAGGCTCTAAAGCATGAGAGAGAAAGGAATCTGGGACAACTCCCAAAGTTTATTTCAAGGAAAATTGGGTGGACAGCGGTGCTAGTCAGCACGATAAGGAATATGGGACATGAAACGGGTCTGGAGGAGTTGATCAATTTTACTTTAAATCTATCTAGTTTGAAGACCCAGAGGCATATCTGAGTGATACCGACCAGGCAGCTAGATTGTTGAGTCTGAAGTCCAGGAACTGAGCTGAAAAATTCGCTTTGCTAACCAGTAGCATGTCAGTGACGGTTGAAGCCATGAGCATAAACGAAATTGAGAAAGTGTGTCTGTGAGTAGCAGAAGCAGGAGCCCAAGGTCAAGGCCCTGGCTTGGGTAGAGGCACAGGAGCCCGAGGGGGAGAACAGGGAACTTCCAGGGTGGCAGAAGAGAGCTGTGCCATAGAACCTTAGACCGGAGAGTTTCCAAAAGCTGTTTGTGTTTTTAATGCTTTGTTTGCTTTTAGCAGCACATTTGCCATTTGGCTCAGACTAATATTAAAATCAGTTCCCATTCCTGAGCATAGAGTGACAGACTGCTGGGGAAAGCATCCCAGAACCACATCGGAGGAAAGAAAGTCTAGCCTAGGGTTGCAAAATAAGTAGTCGTAAAATATTCATAAGTCATCATAAGTCAGATAGCTTACGCCCCAACAAATCAAAGCTGACTTTGTCTTATTACTGGTAAGGAAAAGGAGAGAGACTTCCTCCACCTGCTCCCCCACTGTGTCAAATCCTCCTTTCAGCCCAGGGAGGCAGCTGCCTCACCAGATGTGATTTGAGGAGCAGGGGTAGAAAGGGTGGCTGGCAGCCCTAGCTGCCTGCCCCCAGGTCCCCCTTCCCCTGCTCTGCTCTCTGAAATTTCACCCATTCTGTTCTCTCTTGTTCTCTCTCCTCCCTTTCCTCTCCTGTTCATCCACAGAGCAGACAATAAGCCCTGACGATGTGCCAGGCATTGTAGTAGGTGGTGAGTTCCAAGGAACTTTCGATCCTAGGGGCAAACTCAGAGATGGAAACACACAACAACATCTGCAAGTGGCAAGTACTCAAACAGTCCAAAAGCCTGAGACAGTAAGCTGTTTCTACCTGACGAGGGTGCTGGGAATGCCTTCCCAGAGAAGGTGGCATTTGAGCTGACCACTAGGGACCCTCGGCCAAAATGCTGCAGCTACCCTGTGAGGGGGTAACCCTTAGGCCACCATCCCCTTGGCGCAAGTAACTAACTATTGACTGTCACCTGTGAAACAGAGCGGGAAAGTCCTGGGAGATTCCAGAGATGTGACTCTGCATATAGAACAGGGAGAAAAAAATTGGTGAGGATGGAAGTCACTACCTGAGGGGTCTCAGGCCAGCAACCCTCCACCATGGGGGGAAAGGAGGAGACACACCTTATCTGGTTCCTGATCTCTCTTGGGGCCAGTCTTCTTCTCCATTTGTCTAATGGTATGCTGCATTTTTTTTTTCCTGGTTTCTCTTCCTCATTTTTCATAAAGATGAAGCTTTTAGCTAGCTCTTCTTGCCATCAGTTTCTACCCTGCATCTAATCAAAGTCCACTCCCTTATTCTTTTTTTAAAAATGTTTTATTTATTTTTGAGAGAGAGAGAGAGACAGCATGAGCAGGGGAGGGTCAGATAGAGAGGGAGTCACAGAATCCGAAGACAGGCTCCAGGCTCTGAGCTGGCAGTCAGCACAGAGCCCAACTTGGGGCTCGAACCCACGAACTGTGAGATCATGACCTGAGGTGAAGTCAGGCGCTTAACCAACTGAGCCACCCAGGCGCCACCCCCCCCCCCCCGACTCCCTTATTCTTAATGTGTTCAAAGGTTATTTCCTTTGCCTTCTCTTGAATCTGGCTTTTATGCCCTCATTAGTGTTCCTCACTTTGTCCCTCCCCGTGCTTGCTATCGTTCTGTGTATCAACCTCCTCATTTTCCACTCCAGCATCTTCTCTCAGAGACAGTGCTATTTAGGTCTTTTATTTTTATTTATTTATTTATTTTATTTAGGTCTTTTAATTAGCTTTCCTTCTGCCCCACTCACCTTTCTTAAGCAAAATTATTTTTAACTCTAGCCTCTTGGTTTTTCTTCTTGTTTTTGTTTTTTTACATCAAGTTTTTAATATTAATTTTTTTTTAATTTGAGAGAGAGAGAGCACACACAGGGGAAGGGGGAGTGGGAGAGATGAGAGAGAGAGAGAGAGAGAGAGAGAGAGAATCTTAATCAGGCTTTGCACTCAGTGTGCATGCACAAGGCTCAATTCCATGACCCTGGGATCATGGCCTGATCCAAAATAAGAGTCAGATGCTCAACCGACTGAGCCACCCAAGCACCCCTAATATTAATATTTTTTAACACTTTGATGAATTCCCTTCTTTTCTTGGAATATTGAGTATTGTCAGCTCTTGTGAAGGCTTCTCATGTTCATTTTTCTCATTTGTTCCTTATAAAGTTGCCTTAAGGTATATGGTACCTGGGAGGAGGGAGGAGAGATTGGAGGGAAGGTGAGGGAGACTCCTCGGAGGTCCTGAGCTCTGCCTGGCCGCTCTGCTGAGCACCCACTCTGGAAATGTTCTCTCCCCTAACTTCTCTGCAGAAAGTTTTCAACAACCCTTACGTCCCTGTGGCTATCTGACAATCATGAATGACACCCAACTCTGCTTTCTAAGGGGGAGAGAGGGCGGGACCACATGACCCTCTTGGTTTGTGGGTTGAGGACCACACTCCCCACCCACCCCGCCCTCTGCTCCTCTCTGTATCTTATTGGACCACGGCCCCGGCCTGCAAACAATTGCCGGCGCGAGCAAGTGTATGTTTTAGACCGTGAGATTCCGGGAGACCATGACTTCCCACTACTGCTTCCCCTCGTGATCCAGGCTTCAGCAAAAGCACCTCAGGGCCACAGGGTGGGGGCTGGGGGAGAGCCTCTCCCTCCGTCTGCCCCTGACCGCCTCCACGCCCCTGCAGGAGTGCTGTTCAGCATCGAGGTCACCTCCACCTACTTTGCCGTGCGGAACTACTGGCGAGGATTCTTCGCGGCCACATTCAGTGCCTTTGTATTCCGCGTGCTGGCCGTGTGGAACAAGGATGCCGGTAACGGGGAGACGGGGGCTGGTAACGGGGCGTGGGAGGAAGCTCCTCGGGGTGGTTTAGAAAAGGAATGGATGGCATTATTTCGGAAGTGGGCCCAAGGAAATAGAGCAAAGATATTGGTCATGGGTCACGGAGTGGAAGGGCAATGTTTGGGCATAAACACTGGAAATTCAGTGGAAGAGGTGACATTGGCCTTGGAGGAAGGAAAGAGTTGACCCTCCGCATATGACGCTAGCTTCCCCTTGCGTCTCTGTGGCGCTCCCACCATGATGCCTCTCCGTCCCATAGTCACCATCACTGCCCTCTTCCGAACCAACTTCCGAATGGATTTCCCCTTTGATCTGCAGGAACTCCCAGCCTTTGCCATCATCGGGTCAGTGGGGTCGGGGTCACCTGCTCTGGGAGTGGAGAGCTGCGGGTGGGGGCAGGGTGCGGCTCTGGGTTGGGAGGGGCCCAAGCTGGAAGAAGTGGGGGCAGGCGTGGATAAGCGTGCATTGCTGGGGGGAGGGTGGGTGCCTGGTATTTGTTTCCCTGCCATGGCCAGGTCAGAGATGAAGGTTGCATTGCTATATCACTTGTGCCCTCAGGATTTGCTGTGGGTTCCTGGGAGCCGTATTTGTGTACCTGCATCGCCAAGTCATGCTCGGTGTCCGAAGGCACAAGGCCCTCAGCCAGTTTCTGGCGAAGCAGTGAGTCACTGCCCTTCTGTGTCCTACCCATTTACTTTCCGCTTTCTCCACGAGCCCCTCCCTTTTAATCTTTCTCAAAGGCTGTAAATGCCTTTACGTGGCTTGTGATAAAATATAGAAGCCCTGATATTCCACATAGGGAGAGAACGGTGTGGTTTGCCCATTAAAGATTGCTTTTTGGTGGCAAGAACATTCTGTGTTTAAAGAACTGAGGCTGGGACACCTGGGTGGCTCAGTCAACTGAGCGTGTGACTCTTGATTTCAGCCCAAGTCATGCTCTCACGGTTTGTGGGATCGAGCCCTGAACTGGGCTCTGTGCTGAGTGTGGAGGTAGAGACTGCTTAGGATTCTCTCTCTCTCTCTCTCTCTCTCTTTCTCTCTCTCTCTCCCCCCCCCCCCCCCTCTCTCTCCCCCCCACACCCCTCTCTCTCTCTCCCCCACCCCTCTCTCTCTCTCTCCCCTGCCTCTCCCCTCCCCCCTTAATAACATAACAAATTAAAATAAAGAGCTAAGGCTGCAGGAGCTGCTAGGACCCAGCTTGCCTGCTCTGTGGCATCCACTGTGACTAACTTGGGGAGCTTAAATCTGTGTCTTTTTCAGCCGCTTGCTGTATCCCGGAATCGTCACCTTCGTCATTGCCTCATTCACTTTTCCACCAGGAATGGGTCAATTCATGGCTGGAGAGGTCAGCTCCAAGGAGTCTGGGGGGGTGTGGTGGGAGTCAGGTCACTGAGCTCGTGACTGGGACTAAGCCAGGGCAGGGCCTCCGCACAGATGTCCCTCCAGCTTCTGAGCACATGTACTTTTACCCAAGTGTAGAATCTCTCCCCGAGAACAGAACAAGAGAGACCTTTGAAAAAAGACAAGAGAATCCATTGTTGTTGTTTTTTTAAGTTTATTTATTTATTTTGGGAGAGAGGGAGGGGCAGACAGAGGGAGAGACAGAATCCCAAGCAGGCTCCAAGCAGACAGTAGAGAGCCCGATGCAGGGCTCGAACTCATGAACCATGAGATCGTAACCTGAGCTGAAGGCAGATGCTTAACCAACTGAGCCACCCAGGTGCCCCAGGAGAATCGGTTCGGTACAAAATGCCAGCACCAAACATCCTTGCAGACAGACTCACTTTTGCTTCTTCCTCCCACAGCTGATGCCTCGTGAAGCCATCAGCACCCTGTTTGACAACAACACGTGGGTAAAGCACGTGGGTGACCCTGAAAGCCTGGGCCGGTCGGCTGTGTGGATCCATCCACGGGTCAACGTCATCATCATCATCTTCCTCTTCTTTATCATGAAGGTACCCCCCTGCACTACTGACCCTCTAAGCTTCTGTCTGTTTTCAACCTGGAACCATGGTTTGCGTAGGGTAGAGAAAGGCAAGCTTCATGTGGGCTTCATCCAACATAAAAAGAAATAGCGGGGAAACCATAGCACAGATAAGTTGCTCATCCGTAGAAGTGAGCCAGGGTCCATTCACGGCAACTTAGAGGTGTTGCCATCATTACCGTAGGCCACCTAAAGGTTCCACTGGCTAAGTGCTTAAGATGTCACAGCAGCCAAGTAACAAGTAATCAAGGACAAGAGGGGGCTGAGCAGTATAGATCACTGTGCGAACACCTCAGGTAAACTAACCAAATCCCGCCACCTATTAGATAACTGGGTACTTCCCTCTCCATGTATCAAGTTTTTAGATGATTTGCATATGCATTTCCCCCGTCTGGTGGGTAACCTCTTTTCTAGAATCATAGAAGAGATAAAATGTTTAAATCAATTTTGTTAGTGACTACATATAATTTTTATATATGGTATCGTTTCCTAGTTAGGCAGTGAGGCTGTGAGGATTTTGCCACTCTCAAGCCATTTCCTCCTAATTTCAGTTGGGAGACCACAACTGGTCTCTTAGATTTGTTCTCTTCCAAGTCTGCCCACCAAGGACCATGTAATCCTAAGCTTCTCAGTCACCACCTCATACAAAGATATTTTTATCTCCACCCCTAGTTGTGACATCTCTTATAGCTGCTGCTTGCCTCTCCTTTTTCTCTTTCAATGGTTGCCTTATTACTGACAGTGTATCTTTCCTGAACAATCCATGATTTTCCTCTGTATATTAGGGTTCTCACCTAAAAGACTGTCCACACTGAACTTTCATGCTTTTGAATACCTTGCTATTAACTTCATGATAATTTTTGTGAATCTGTATTTTCACAGGATATGAGTCAGTAAGTTATATATGCTTTTGGTTGAAAAACATGTGTTTGTTTTTTGCTGCTCCTTTAATGTACTTGCCAAGGATCCCATGATTAAAGATACCAGGTGCTTGACGCACCAGGTTCCAAGTCTGTGACTTACATTCTCAGGATCTGCTCTGGGTTTCTAGAAGCTCTATCTGTGCATGTTCTTTCCCGTCCCACTCCACATGGGTTCGGTGGGTCGACACTTCCATATTTTGCACACCTACTTTACTAATTATGTCTTTTTTTAAATTTCTTCCTTCAAAAGATTTGATATTTTTATCATAAAAATGTTCTTGCTGTCTTGTTAGGGATTTGACTTTTGGACTTTCAGTACAGAGTTCATCTTCTCTAACTTATAAATCCCAGCTTCCTGTAAGTAACCAAGCAAGTCCAAGTTTCGATAGCATCTCAGAATTTATTGTTCAAGGATAATAATATAGACTGAACTATATGGTAACTTTGGGATCATATATACTTTTTTAAAATTTTATTTAACTCCAAGTTAGCTGACCTATAGTATAATGTTTCAGGAGTAGAATTTACTATAACACCCAGTGCTCATCCCAACAAGAGCCCTCCTTAATGCCCATCACCCATTTAGCCCATACTCCCACCGAACCCCCCCATCAACCCTCAATTTGTTCTTTGTACTTAGGAGTCTCTTACGGTTTACCTCCCTCTCTGCTTTTATCTTATTTTTCCTTCCCTTCCTTTATGTTCATCTGTTTTGTTTCTTAAATTCCACATGTGAGTGAAATCTTATGTTACTTATCTTTCACTGACTGACTTATTTCGCTTAGCATAATTCATACTAGTTCCATTAATGTTGCTGCAGATTGTAAGATTTCATTCTTTTTGATCACCAAGTAATATTCTATTGTGTGTGTATATATATATGTGTGTACACACATATACACACATATATATACATATACACATATATGTATACATATACACACACATATATATATACCACAGCTTTTTTATCCATTCTTCAGTCAATGGACATTTGGGCTGTTTCCATAATTTGGCTATTGTTGATAGGATCATATATACTTTTAAAATGTCAAGCTTTTGGGGCAGCTGGGTGGCTCAGTCAGTTGAGCCTTGACTCTTGTATTCAGCTCAGGTCATGAGCTCACAGTTGTGGAATTGAGCCCCATGTCAGGCTCTGCACTAGGTGTGGAGCGTGTTTAGGATTCTCTCTCTCCCTCTGCCCCTCTCCCCCACTTGCATGCTCTCTCTCTCTCTCTCTCAAATTAAAAAAAAAAAAATTTTTTTTTACAAGAGAACAAATCTATACCTTTATTTATTTACTTTTCAGTTAGTTTAAATCCTTGAGGGGTACAACATCACATGGACTCTGTGGCCAATCACTTTAGGAGGAAAGTTGCTTCGGAATTTGGCACGAACCATGCCACTGTTTCCAGGAGTTACTTTCCCCAGATCACTCTGGTTTTATCCGGTTTGCCACCAGGAGTCACTGTGTTGTTCTCTGCTCTGTACACATAGGCATATCTCTTGTGCTTAGAAATCAGTTTCATCTTGGGCATAAACACCTTCAGTTTTAAGAAGAGCTGTGTGCTCCCTCTGGTCGGAGACCCTGCTTATAGCCAGCAAAGCTGGCTTTGGACCACAGCCTTCCAGACATATTTATCGTTTCAGGAATCCTGTTCCCAGCATGCCTCCACAGTTTCCAAAATGGTGGAAAGAGCAAAAAAAATAAATAAATAAAATAAAAATTTTTTTTAAAATAATTAAAATAAAATTTCAAGCTTTTAAAAAGTTTTGGAGAAACAAAATACTGTATATATTCTTCAACATTTCCCTACCCCTCACCTCACCTCACCTCACCTCCTTAGATTCCCAAGTATATATCTAGATTCAATTTTACAGATAAATGTTTATTCTGAGAAGCCTACTCGGATTATACAGCAGCACTCAACTGTATGTCACTGTTATTAATTTCTCGCTGAATTACCTCCTTGATAATGTGTATATCATAAGCATATCAGGGAGAGAAACTCATATACTTCCTGGGCTATGTTTCAAACCCCACAGTATAAGCAGCCTATGCTATTCTATAATATTTATAAACGTAAAACCACTCACTGTTGTAAATCTGTGATATCGTCTGATTGATTATCACGGCTTCCAGCATTTTCACTGTTCTGCTGTTGGACACATATACATCCTTTTATTTACTCCAAAGCGTAGGTGTGTAGATAATAGGTTACCTGCACTACATATATACCTATAGGCAGTGTAGGTACAAGCAGATAAGATTCTCAGCTATTGATGAAACAAACTTCCATCTTCTTCAGCCTTAAGACACAGAAAGTATCACCATGTTGTAAGTCACCAGCTCCCACAATGGGTGTGACAACTTCTCAGTTTCCCTTTCTAAGAGTCCAACGTCATTACCCAGTATCACTGTTCAGCGTAACCCCGGGGCTCAGTGGAATTCTTCATAGCACTCCTTCTTGTGTAGGGTCTAAATAAAATGACATCTGTCATAATGGATCTCTAGTTTCCCAGTTCTCTAGAACTGGGTGTTTAAATTCTTGTGAGTTATTTGCATTCCTCATTACTTACATTGTTTCTGGATCCTTCCTTTCATGTGCTAATAGCTCAGAAAGTTTGCTAGCCTCGTGTGTCATTCTTTGTGCTACAGGAGTTGATCACATCGGTGTCCTCTGAGCGTCATCTGTGCTTACACATATCGTGAGGGATAATTCAAAGTTCGCCCTCCAAAATCAGCCCTGTTAGCCACCTATTACCTGTATCACTGGAGCATTCAGATTAACCGGAGCCAATAAGCTTTCACGTGCTTATTCCAAAAAGATGGCACAGAATAGTTCAAGGGGTCTCCAGTTGTTATACGTCAGAATCACTTACAAGGTTTAAACTAGAGGGGTCTAGAACACTGTATCCAGACAGACTGACATGGTGTTTGGTCGTCTGCAGTTTCAGCCAGTTTCCCAGTGGGTATTTCTGTTGAGTGTTGCAGCAAATATTAGCGCAGAGAAGCCTTTTCTATTTTGCATGGATGCTATTTGACCAAACTCTCTTCTTTCTTTCCTTCCTCCCTCCATTCCTCCCTCCCTAGTATCCTGCCTGTATCTGACTTGCATTTATGAGCACCATGCCAGTGCTGAGAGCAGGCAGAGAAGAGGCATGCAGTTGCTTTATACTCAAGGCCCTCTTAGTTTATATTCTCTTCATTTGTACACTTGACTTTGTAGCTCTCAACTGTTTTACATGCTCATATTCTGACATGAAGAAGTACGTATGCATTTTGCCTCAACTCAGAGCTTCTGGAAGGAAGCCTTCCCAGAGTTTTTGTCATGGCCTCTTGACACCAGCCCTGGTTCAATGGAATCTTTTTTTTTTTTTTTTAATTTTTATTTATTTATTTTGAGAGAGACAGAGATTGAGCGAGGGAGGGGCAGAGAGAGAGAGAAAGAGAGAGAGAGAGAGAGAGAGAGAGAGAGAGAATCCCACACAGGCTCTGTGCTGTCAGACCCAGGGCTCGAACTCACAGGCCATGTGATCATGACCTAAATTTAACTGACTGAGTCATCCAGATGCTCCTCAAGGGAATCTTTCTAAGCTTCATAATATTAAGAAATTTATTTCTCACTAGATTCTAGGACAATTGGTACAGATTTTTTATTGTAAATATTTCATCCTGTCAATTTGTTCTGACTTAGCTGCTGCCATCTTTCACCAAATTAGTTTGAGATCCTTAGTTGTAAGATTAGCTTAACTTATTTTGGAAGTGATACATAAACCTGTTTCTTAATTCACATGCTGTGTCTCATACTTTTATTTCTTTCACAGATATTTCAAAAGCTCAACCAATACTCCTTTCTCCACTCTTATTTCTCAATTCTTCCACATTCTTTGCCACAAAATGTACCTATTGCTTTTGCTAAAATTGTTCCAATTTCTGTTGGAATACTACCCGACAAAGTTGGCCCCGGAGCTTGGCTGGGTTTCTCAGTGTGCCCTTCCAGTATGGCCAGGACAGAGCTGGGTTTTTGTTTTTAACCTCTGTTTAAGGTGATTTGATGTTAAGAGGAAATGGCTCAGGCAAGACAGGCTTCACTCCAGACTCCCTTGTGAGGTTTACCATATAAACTGCTTTGTAAATGACCACATCAAAGCTACGTTAGTCATATAGTAAGTTTCTAAGACTAACATGTCTGCCACTTAGAAATGGGCCCTTTTTCAGAAACATAATCTGGCTGCAAAAAGATATCCTCCAGCTTCAAGACTTTCGGGCTGTTCGGCTGAGGTGACCTCTTCAGGCTAAGAGGGTACCATATAGGCTAGACCCTTCTGGAACAGGGACAGGAGTCTTCAGCGGTTCTACTCTTCTTTCTAGATTGCCTAACGGCAAACATAGTCACTCCAAGAAGGAACAATTTGGGTTAATAGTCGGAGGAACTTTCTTAAAATGTTGTCTTTGGTGGTCTCTTAGCCTGAGTGCGCCACGTTTTTTGGTTCTGGAGGAAGGGTGCAGACAAGATGGCTTCCAAAAAGATTCACTCTCCCAGGTTTTCCGTGACCCTCGAAGCAAGAAGGAGGGTTGGAAGTGGGAAGGGGGTGGAGTGTGTGTGTATGTGTGTGTGTGTGTGTGTGTGTGTGTGTGTGTGTATTGGGCAGGGTTGAGGGGGTGTCCTGATGCCTCTTTTTACCCCAGTTTTGGATGTCCATCGTGGCCACCACTATGCCCATACCCTGCGGAGGCTTCATGCCTGTGTTTGTGCTAGGTAAGTTCTTGTGGGAAGCCTGAGATCTTACTGAGAGCTGCAATCTAAGGTACCGGGAAATCAAGGAAAGGTCTGGGATTTCGGGGTTTGTATTTGGTCTTACTGCCCAAGCAGGGATTGGCTCTGAAAATATAGAGGATCAGGAACTTGGACCTTTCAATACCTTCGTTTCTTTCATCTTTCCTCTAGGAGCTGCATTTGGAAGACTGGTAGGAGAGATCATGGCCATGCTCTTCCCTGATGGTATCCTATTCGATGACATCATCTACAAGATCCTACCTGGGGGCTATGCAGTAATTGGTAAGACACATTCTACCCCCCGGAACTCCTAATCGCCACACTCAAACTCTCCCATGGCATCTTTATTCCATGCTACACAATGAGGTTTTAATTTTATGCTATTTGATTCAACTTTTGTTCAAATAATCAGCCCTTGGCTCTGACTCTCATTAGCTCTTATTGAACATCTTTGAGCCTTAGTTTCTTTATGTAAAAAAGGGATTATGGGGATTAAACAAGATAATACCTAGGATTGTGTCTGAATGTTTGGTAAGGGATTTTTCTTTGCTTCCAAAGAATCACAGAAACAGCAGTGCAGATGACTGGCTTGGATACTCCCATCCGACCTGCAGATGTGCTAATATTAACGGGACTTAAGAGTACATGGCTAAGAAACATGGGCTCTGTGCTCATCCCCGCCACTTGTCACCTGCATGACTACGGAACAAGTTAGCTACCTTTCCGCACCCCACTTTCTTTGCTCTAATGTGACTTCTGAGATATCTTACAATCCTAACGTTCTGAGAATCTGTGATAATCTTTTTTTCATTAAATCTACAATCCCATGAAGCTGAAACCATGTCTAACACAGAGACCAGTGTAATCCTCAAAATCATTATGCCTCCTTCTTCCTTATGTTCTTCACCAAAAATCCCATAATGTCTAAGGCCATGTGTCCCTTAAATGTAGAAGCACTAACCAGCCTTACAGTGCATATGGTGACCTGACTCCCCAATCACAGTCCTTTACAAAAGCCTCTTTCATCAATTAGAATCATCTGCTTTTACTCCCCATCAAGCAAGCTGTACAACCCAACGTGGGGCTTGAACTGACAAGCCCGAGATCAAGAGTTACATACTCTACTGACTGTGCCCCTCTCTTTCGTAACTTTTTCTTGTTCTCTTTTCATGTATACCTCCTAGTGACTATTTTTGTTGATGGAAAAACATAACTAAAAACAAATAAGACAGATTCTGTTATCAACGAGTTCACAGAATCATAGCATTTTAGATCTGCAAGGGTTTTACGACTTATTTAATACCTCACTTACCTTAGAGATAAGAATATGGGATTCCAGAAGAATCAAGTTCTACTTATACAGTTGAGAAATTATAGAATCACAATCTGACACAGGTGTCATTCTCCAAGTCCACAGCATGAGTCCTGGCTTTTGACCCTCTTCACTCATAAATTATTGACATTGAAACCTGAGGTCCAAAGTAAAATGCTATCAGAGTTTTAAAATGCTCAGTTAAGAATCATCCAAACTTCTGGGGTGCCTGGTGGGCTCAGTCAATAGAGCATGTGATTCTTGACCTCAGGGTTGTGAGTTAGAGCCCTACACTGGATGTAGAGACTACTTAAAAACAAAACAAAACAAAAAGGAATGATCCAAAAATTCAAACTCAAGGAACTGTCTTCATTTTATAAGTGAAAATTTGGGCACACACAATGATTTTGCAAATTGCCAAAGGACATCGAATAAGATCAAACTCATTTTCTATCTGTTCAGCATTCTTGCCACTACTCTTGACAGATAGTTATGTCAAGAGTGTTGGTACTGACCAAGGTCATGTCTCCCCGCTCTACGTCACTCCCCTCACATCCCCACATGCCCTCCATGCCAGGAATGGCAACCCTAACCCACCACTTCCTGTGTGTCATTCTAGGGGCAGCAGCGCTGACTGGTGCGGTGTCCCATACAGTCTCCACAGCTGTGATTTGCTTTGAGTTAACGGGTCAGATTGCCCACATCCTCCCCATGATGGTGGCTGTCATCTTGGCCAACATGGTGGCTCAGAGCCTGCAGCCCTCCCTCTATGACAGCATCATCCAGGTCAAGAAGCTACCCTACTTGCCTGACCTTGGTTGGAACCAGCTCAGGTCAGGGGCACCAGCTGGAATTAGTTCAGACGTGATGGGGTGGGGGTGGTGAGGTTCTGAGGTTGAGACCAAGGTTAGGGTCAACATTTGGAAACGCTGCTTTGTGCTCATTTTTATGTTCCCACGTACTTAATGAATATTCTAAGTGATTGAATGCCTGGGATGGCAAAGGAACAGCCTATGGCGGGGCTAACCCCCCATGCTTTCTCCCTCCATAGCAAATTTACAATCTTTGTTGAGGACATCATGGTGCGTGATGTGAAGTTTGTTTCAGCTGCCTGCACATATGGGGAATTGCGAACCCTGCTCCAGACCACCACCGTCAAGACTTTACCGCTGGTTGATTCGAAAGGTCAGTGGGAAGGAAGGAAACAGACTCCTGAGCTAGTGACCTGAACAAGGGCTCCACCGAGGTGGAGGAGATACTGTAGTGTGGGCTTTTCGTTAGGGACCACTCATTTCTGCCACAGCACACCCAGCTGTGTTTCCTTTCGAGAAGCCCAACAGTCCCAACAGAAGCACAAGAAGATAGTTAAAAATCCAATTAGAGAGCTACAGCCGATTCTCATTAGTCACTGTAGTTATGTTCTCTCAAGTCACCATGAACGCTGAATCACGGGTACGACACTGAACTGCCCTGGAGGAAATGCAGGGTTAGGTTCCTCCGGCCACATTTTCTTCGACTAATCAACGCATAAACTTGTTTTATGTGTGTTTCTCTTTAAAGACAGCTTATTTTGTATATGCTGTGGATTCACTAACTAGAAATCATGGCCAACAGGGCTATAACTCATGCCTGAGCAGAGGTCTCCTAGCACACGGATGTTCTCAGTAAGGCCCATCACAGCCTTCTTGCTTGGGGGTGGGGAGGGGCAGGGTGGGGTTTAAGCAGCAAAATCACCAACACAAAACCAGCAAAAAAATGGACCATGAAAAGAATGCTTGTTTACAATATGGGAGAGCATCACTTTTCCAGCCTCAGCTGGAAACGTGTGCACGGGAGGCTCCAGTCGTTCGCCACTCTGTACAGGTCTGTGACGGTAAGGGCACTTTGAGCACTGGTTTGGGGGTTACAAATATGTACCCGTGTTTGAGGCAGTAGATACATTTCACAAACAGGGAATCCATGAACAGTGAGGCTTAATCCCTTATGTGGATCTCTTTGCTACTTTGCTAAATGGTAGCCGTCCTTCAGTGCCCGATGTGAGGGGCAGAAGAAACCATCTGTATGAAGGAGTGAATGGTTTATTCTTTTTAATGTTTATGTATTTATTTGGGGGAGTGGGGGCAAAGAGAGACAGGGAGAGAGAATCCCAAGCATTCTCTGCACTGTCAGTATAGAGCCCCACTCAGGGCTGTGTCTCATGAACTTGAGATCATGACCTGAGCCAAAATCAAGAGTCCACACTTGGGGCGCCTGGGTGGCTCAGTCAATTAAATGTCCAACTTCATCTCAGGTCAAGATCTCATGGTTCGTGAGTTTGAGCCCCATGTCAGGCTGTATGCTGACAGCTCAGAGCCTGGAGCCTGCTTTGAATTGTGTCTCCGTCTCTCTCTGCCCCTCCGCTGCTCATGCTCTGTCTCTCTCTCTCTTTCTCTCAAAAATAAATAAACATTAAAAAAAAGAGTTGATGCTTAACTGACTGAGCCACGCAGGCGCCCCAGCGGAGTGAATGGTTTAAAGCAATGATTTCACACACCATTTTCTTTCACCATCCTTTGGCGTTTAATCCTGCTCTGTATTATTTCTTTGTGTAGTTTGTATATTTGTGTCTCACTAGATTAGGAATTCTTTGAGGGCAGACACTATAACTTCTATCCCCTTCAGACTGCCTCCCTGTAGGTATTTACTAGATTTTAAATCAATACTCACCTAGGGTTTGAATTAGTATAATTAAGAAGAATCACGTAGGGCCATTTGGAGCCATTAAATTTGTTAGTTCCTGATTTCAGATAATCAGAGTATCCAAATTGTTCAGGTTAGATTCATTTTAATATTTTCCCCAAATCCCAAATACTTTTTTTTAACGTTTGTTTATTTTTGAAGAGAGAGAGAGGGAGGGAAAGGCAGATTGCGAGTTGGGGAGGGACATAGAGAGAGGGATGCAGAATCTGAAGCAGGCTCTAGGCTCTTAGCTGTCAGCACAGAGCCCGATGTGGGGCTAGCTCTAACTCACAAATGTGAGATCATAACCTGAGCCGAACTCAGATGCCCAACCGACTGAGCCACGCAGGCGGCCCCCAAATACTTTTAAAGTGGCCTCTAAAGCAGTGGCTTTTCATTGGAGCCTGGGTACAGCCAATGAGATGCAGGGTTTTCATAATAATGACAAAGACTTAATGGTAAGATTTATCTTAATAACACTGCTGCAGTTTTATGGGCTTATAATTTAATGAAAAGGTTAATTATGGTAGCAGAAATTTCCATATATGAAACATCTTCCTAGGAAAAGTAGGCATTTTGTTTATATCCTAGAAGAACCCAGAGTCTTTAAGTGATTAAACAGCAGATATCCTTGTAATCCTTGTAGACTTCTTCCAAAGTGCATTCACATCTCAGCCCATGTAAATGGCTTTAAAAGTTTCTCTCTCTCTCTCTCTCTTTTTTTTTTTTTTGGAGAACAGGGTTGATTAGCTATTTTGATACCAAGTTCACCTATTTACAAACAGCCTGTATAATGAAGGGCTGCATCAGAATAAGTACACATTAACACGAACTCCTATGCTATCAGCTGAGTCTCTAAGTGCTGAATGAGTGAAATGAAAGGGTCTGGGGGAGGTCAGTCCTGGAAGATGTTTGAAGTGAGTTTTCAGGAAGAGAAGGTAAGAGCTGGAAAAAGAAGCAGGGGTGCTGGGCTTGTGTCCGGGACTCCATCCTGTGTGTCCTGCTGAGCAGGGCAGAGCAGGGAGTGGACCCCAGCTGGCCCTCAGCCTGCGCTCTGCTCTCCCCTAGACTCCATGATCCTGCTGGGCTCCGTGGAGCGGTCAGAGCTGCAGTCCCTCCTGCAGCGCCACCTGAGCCCTGAGCGGAGGCTGCGGGCAGCCCAGGACATGGCCAGGAAGCTGTCCGAGCTGCCTTACGACGGAAAGGCACGGCCCGCTGGCGGCGGGCACCGAGGCCTCCCGCCTGAGGCCCGGAGGGAGTCCTTTGCCTTCGTGGATGAGGATGAAGATGAGGACCTCTCTGGGAAGCCCGAGGTGACCAGGCAGGGATAGGGCTGGCGGAGCCGATAGAGTGGGCCAGGGGAAAGAGAGGAGGTGCCGATCACGGAGAAGGTCAAAGGGACCAGTGTCCCTGGGGGCCAGGGGCTGAGGGAGGTGAAGGGCTGAAGGCTGCAGGTGATGGTACCAATGAGAATCCAAAGGGACACAGGAATTCTGAACGGGGAGAAGGAGGTAGAGGGACTTCCCAGCACGCATGCTGACAAGGGGAGGAAAGTGCTGGGCAGCCTCTTTCCCAGGACTGAGGATTTTCACTGTTCCTTTCAGCTGCCTCCTCTCCCTGCTCCTCACCCCTTTCCTGCTGCTCCGCTGTCCCCCGAAGAGCCCAATGGGCCCCTGCCCAGCCACAAACAGCAGCCAGAAGCCCCGGAGCCTGCAGGTGAAGATTCTCCCAGCATGCACCCACATCACACCTGCTCTCTCTGGGCTCTCCTCAACCTAACGGCTGCCACCATAAGGAGGGGTGAGGGCAGGGGAGGGCGGGAAGGGATTCCGACTCGTTGAGTCTCCATATCACCATCCCAGGGAGTCTGGGCAAGGGCTGGTTTAGGAGGGTAGGAGAAAGGGTGTCCGTGGAGGTGACGCATCTGGAAGTACCCTGTTTGGCCAAGTGTCAGGGGCCCCTCGGGAGTCCCCTAGCCGGCCATTTCCTCCCAGGGCATATACTGTTTGTTTCCGTTTCTATCCACTTATCACTCCTCTCAGGTCAAAGACCCTCTGTCTTCCGGTCCCTGCTGCGCTGCTTACTGGGCAGGCCTCGCCCCATGAAGAAGAAAACAACCCAGGTGAGAACAGATGTGTCGTGGAGGGTGGACAGGGAAAGGGGCGAGCCTCTGCGGACTGAGACATCCATGGTCTGCGAGGCAGAAGGGAGGAGGGCCCACCAAGGAGAAGGTGCATATGGAAGGAACCATGAGTAGGAAGGCAGCCATCTGTGGCCGTGGCCTGCGAGAGATGACTCATGGCCAACGGACTCATAATCGCCATGAAAAGGGAAAGAACTTACACCTATGTCTTTCTTCTCTAGGAGTTAACGGATTTGGTGGACACCATGTCACCTGAAGAGGTAAGAGAAACAGCAAGAACCTGGGGTGGGCTGTTCTGTCAGATGAAGACATTGCTCACTTTGTTCATCGTGTTGTTGTAAGAAGATGCGAGTCTAGGCCAGAAAGCGTTGTGAGAGGTTGGGAATGAGATATGACTATGGAGGGAGGGCTGGGCGCGTCGCTCAGAGGTGGGCCTTCTCAGAGGGATCAGGAGAAGGAAGTTTTGAGCCTCTATGCACGGATGGAACCGTAGTACTCAGATGAGTCTTAAGATCTTTTAACATTTAGACATTAGGGATATTTGGGCCAGGCAGATGCTGTGTAGGAAGCATGAGCTTCACCTGAAGCGCCAGGCAGCCAGCCGTCGCACATGCCATGCAGAAGAACGGCATGGAAGCTAAACTCCATGCCTGCTGGAGGTGACGATGCTGGCTTGGTCAGGGCCCTGAGGTGGTGGACTACTAGAAAATGCCAGGAAACAAGCCTGGAAAAAACTGAAAACCCAGGGCAGACACTGACAGCAGTGCCCCACTGGGACAAACACCTATTTCCTTAAAAAGGTAGTTACTGAGTCTGTGAGAGAGAAAATCTAGCCCTGAATAGGCCTGGTCCTGAGGAGCGGACAGCCAGGGAGCGATGATCTGGAGCAAGCAGCCGGGCCATTCCGGTCGAAACAGACCCTGGGGTTGCAGAAATACCACAGGGACCAGTAGCCGCCATTCCACTTAGTGAAAGAAGGCAGGCCCACCACGGAGCTGAAATGGAAGAGCTTTGAAAGCCTATAGATGACAACCGTAATGGATATTATTCGAAAATAAGCATCTTTTTTAAATAAAGTTTATTTATTTTGAGGAGGGCAGAGAGAGACTCCCAAGAGGGTTCCGCGCTGTTAGTGCAGAGCCGACACGGGGCTCAGTCTCACAAACCGTGAGATCATGACCTGAGCCGAAATCAAGAGCTGGACGCTTAACTGACGAGCCACTCAGGCGCCCCTAAAGTAAACATCTTCTTGGTCGGTCCAAGCTAAATGGAGGAGGGCATGGGGCGTCACAGGAGAGGAGAGAAGTCTGTCCCTTCTCTCCTTGTCACCCCTCAAAACACACACCCTTCTGATCAATGCCTTGTGGACAAATGGACTCAATGAGCACAGAGCAAAGGGAACAGCTGCAGCTTCTGCCCCCAAGCAGGAAAACGATGGGTCGTGACTGTGGTTGAGGAGGGCTTTGCTCAAGTTCAAAACCAGTGATAATACTCTTAAAAAGTACTCCAGTGGGAAAGCTAGCTAGTTGATCAGTGAGGCTATTTAATGACCACTGGCAATAAAGCACCACCAGGGGTAAAAAGGAAGCATGTATTTTTAGCTGATGTCTTTCCCAAAGAAGACTTTAGGGATGTAAACTCCCACATGACCCACTGGGCCATTCTAGAAGGATAAGATCCATAGGAGTAAAAATTCAGGATATTTTGAACATGGTTTTCAGATGAGATCAAGAAGGCACCCTTGGCAATATCAAGGTGATACCTATGGGAAGAGTGGAAGAATTCACTGTCAGGTCGCCAGAGGTCACGTTTATCTACTCCTCTGTTAAGGGTACACACAGAGCCCCGGTTTGTTACCGGGGCTGAGCCTCTGAAAGTAGTGGGACAGGTCAGACCCCAAAGCAGAGATTCCCCTGCCCCTTGGACACAAGCTGGGGTTCCTGGAACGTGATCAGCAGTCAAGGTCGGAAGCCCAGCTCTTCCTCTGTGTCGTCTTGGGCGGACGCTTACGTACCCTGTGCCTCTATCTCCTCATCTGTAAAATGAGATAATGATAGGTCGTTGGAGAGGATCCCATGAGTGAAGACACGTACAGCCACCCGAATAATGCTTGGCACAGAGGAAGTGCTGGTGCATGTACGCTGGAAACGGTTCTGTTACCGTTGTTCCTTAACGGAAGACAAGAATGGAACCAGGGAAGGCAGGCAATGACCGTAGAAAGATCCAGGAGGACAGGATCAACCAAAGCAGGGTTGGCACGAGCCCTACAAATAAATCCTGTCTCCAGCACACCTGCTAAGCGGTCATCTATCCTGTGCTGTGAGGATGAGCCAAACCCTGTGTGAACCTCTCCTCAGGAAAGGGGAGGACTGGAGGAGGTGTGGTGGCAGTCCAGAACAACCAGGGAGGGACAGATGGACAGCACGCCACCGCGGACTGTCCACCAGGCACAGGAACCGGGACGTGGCCTTCGGAGACCTTCTCCGGAGCTTGACACATGGGGACTTGGACAGACAGAAAAATGAAGTAGTACAGAGATCAGAGGGTGCTGACTGAAAAGACATTTCGGGAAATTTTAGATTCCGTTATGAAAGTCAGAGCTCTCCTGGATTATTTGGAATCTTGGGGATTTGGGTGTGTGCATCTGAAATCAAGAGGAGATTAAGGCCTTCGTGCCTTAATGCTTCTGTGATAGACAAAACAAAACAAAAATGGTTTTACTCTAGCCAGTCACATCTTCATGCCCAGCAAATAGTCCCCACAATGCGAATGTGCTAGTTTCTGCACGCGCAGTGGGTACCTGCACGTAACACTCCTAAGAGTTCACATCCGGGGCACCTGGGTGGCCCAGTTGGCTGAGCAGCCATCTTCAGCTCAGGTCATGATATTGCGGTTCCTGGGTTTGAGCCTCGCTCGCTGCTGTCAGCACAGAGCCCGCTTCACTTCAGATTCTCTGTCCCCCTCTCTTTCTGCCTCTCCCCTGCTTCCACTGTGTCTCTCAAAAATAAATAAACATTAAAAAAAAAAAAAGAGTAGGAACACCTGGGTGGCTCAGTCAGTTAAACGTGGGACTTCAGCTCAGGTCATGATGTCTCGGTTTGTGAGTTCAAGCCCCACGTAGGGCTCTGTGCTGACAGCTCAGAGCCTGGAACCTGCTTCAGATTCTGTGTCTGCCTCTCTCTCTACCCCTCCCCTGCTTGTGCGGTCTCTCTCTAAAAAATAAATAAACATTAAAGAAATAGAGTTAATGTCCTCATCTGTGTCCTGTAGGCAGAGGTAAGACAAATGCCAATAAAAGATTCAGCGCGATCCATGTCATATCTGTAAAGGAGGGACCAGCAATGTGCTATAGGAATTGAAAAGCCTGCTCCTGGGTGGTTGGGAGAGCTGTGTGCAATACAGGGTGGGGGAGTCCAGGGGGCGAGAACAGCAAATGCGGGTTTGGGAAGGCACGGCTGCTTTTACTGAGCAATGGGCATCACAGGAGTGGTGGAAAATAAGACTGGGCAGATGGGTTGGAAACACCAAATGTTTGGGGCACAGGGGGCAGGGAGGGTGGGGGAGTAGAGGACAAGAAGACAGAGAGGTGCTCTAAGCGCCTGAGACTGAAGTGATGTGGGGCCTGATGAGGGAGGAGAGGGTGCAGCCCCTGGCAGGAAAGGAGGTCTAGTGATGGGGGGGATGGGGTGTCTGTGACACCGCATCACATATTTCATGGTCTGGGCTGCCTGGGAGGGCTGTTTGGGGTCCAGCTGCAGACCGGAGGCCGAAGGGGGCTCCGGGATGCGGAGCGACGGCCCTACCCTGCCCCACAGATTGAGGCCTGGGAGCAGGAGCAGCTGAGCCAGCCCGTGTGTTTTGACTACTGCTGCATCGACCAGTCTCCCTTCCAGCTGGTGGAGCAGACGTCTCTGCACAAGGTGAGTCCTTGCCCCCCGACTGCTGGGGGCCGCCGAGGGCAGGGGAGGTGTGGGGCAGCCCCGCACTGACGGGCAGCTCTCTCCCCGCAGACCCACACGCTCTTCTCGCTCCTTGGCCTCCACCTTGCTTACGTGACCAGCATGGGGAAGCTCAGGGGCGTGCTGGCGTTGGAGGAGGTAAGAGTGACGTGTCCCATCGGAGCCGCAGGAGGAAGATGGGCACAGCATGAGGGGGTGCGGGTGGGGAGGGGATGGCTTGACATTCGGGGGGGGGGTTCCCGCAGACTTCCCTCTCTGTTTCTCACGGGGAGATTGGAGGGTGTGGACGGAGCAAGGGGCAGGTGGGCAGGACCGCCTCCCAGGGTCTTCGTGGACTTCCCCTGCCTGGGTTGGGATGAGGGGTCAGGGCGTGAGTCCCGGTTCGTGTGCGCGCTCTGGGGAGGGCCGTGGGAACCTGGGACGGGGTGGGACGTGGCTGAAGGAGGCCTGAGGGTCACTAGGAGGGGGTCTGGCCAGAGGGGCCAAGACTCGCGGCTCCGCGGGCCCCTTCCCCTGCCTCCCCGCTCCTGGGCCTCCTCCTGCTGCGGTCTGTTCTCTCGCACCGGTTTCTCTCACCGGCCCCGTCCTCGCCCTCCTCCCGGTCGGTCGTGCACCCGCTCGCCCTCTCCCCGCAGCTGCAGAAGGCCATCGAAGGCCACACCGAGTCCGGGGTGCAGCTCCGCCCGCCCCTGGCCAGCTTCCGGAACACGACGACGGTCCGGAAGAACCCCGGGGGCCCGCCCCCGCCCCCCGACGCCTGGAGCCTGCCCGCGGACGGAGCCGCGGCTGCCGGGCCCGCGGAGGGGGCCCCCGCCTCCCCGGAACGCGCTCTCTCCGGGGCCCCGGCCCAGGCGGAGGGCGAGCTGGAGGAGCTGGAGCTGGTGGGCAGCGCGGGGCTGGAAGAGGAGCTGGCTGACATCCTGCAGGGCCCCAGCCTGCGGTCCAGCGACGAGGAGGACGAGGACGAGCTGATCCTGTGACTCGCGCCGACCGTCCAGAGGCCGCGGCCCGGGCTGCTGCGTGCGGGCGAGGGTCCGTCCGAGGCCGGAGGCACCGCGCCCATGTCCTGCCCCCTCCTGGGGATTTTTAAATGGGACGGTGATAGTCTTGGAGGAGGGCTCCTTGCGCAGAGAGCGGCCTTGATCAGTTATCTAGGCCGTGTCCCCCCATCCAGACAGGCAGGCAGGGGCTTCTCACCCCAGGGAAGGGCCTGCCGGTGCGTGGGGCTCCCCGGCTGCCTGCTGAATGGGCGGCACACACCCCGTGTCGCCCAGGCCCCCCTTATCCCCTGGGAGCCCGCTGCTGTTCTTGTTCCAGCACCTTCCTGGCTCTGCCTATGCGTCTGCCAGTCTCCACGGGGACCCACAAGGACGGCGGCCTGTGGAGGAGACGGGAGCCCCTCATGCCTGGTGGACGGATGGCCCGGAACACACTTGAGAACTGTCGCACCCCTCCTCAGAGCCCCCCACCCCGTTCTCCCACGGGCTCACACCCACTCCTTGAAATTTGCGCCACCCCACGGCACCCCTTCCTGGCTCCCACTGAAAGGCGGGTCCCAGGGCCCCTCCTTTGCCTCAGACTTCAGCAGTGCCATGTGGGTAAAGGAGGAGCAGGCTGACAGAGAAAAGGTGTCTGTGGAGGAAGCAGGGTCACCCACACCTCCTTCAGGCAGAATCTGTCCCACACCACAGCCTCCTCACCCTCCAGTTTCCAGGTCTCTCCCTGGAAAATACATGCTCCTCCCCCCTGCCATCATTGATCCGTCCTGCCCAAGGGTCAGCTGTGCCCTCCAGCTGCTGTGGCTGTGGCTTCTGCCCTCCGGAACCAAGGCTCAGGGCAGCCAGGGCTCTGGTCACTCAAAACCAGCCGTTAGACTGGCTCTTTGTGTTCCTCTTCTAGACGTGGAGAGAGGAGGGTTCAAAGTCAAGATGGCAGACGTCTTTGATGCTTCCCACGCTGGGGAAGTCAGATCTGTATCCTCCCCAGATCAGCAACACGGTTGCTGTTAGCCTGTCTTTCTATAAAGTGGTCTTGGGTGCGCTGAGCCTCCACATCCCAGGCTATCCCCACTCCCTCCTTCCCTCCCTCCGGTTATGCCTTGTCTGGTTCTCCGATCTTGTCCCCTTTACTTGCTCCTCCTTCCCCTCCTCTGTGCCCAGTCTCCATCATCCCCCAAATAAGACACTCATAGTCACAGGTGCCACCACAGTCTGTTTAGTGCCACTGAACACAGCCTGTAGCCCTCTGCAACACCACGTCCCTTCCACCTCCCCAGGCCGCGAGAGCGAAAGAGAGAGAGAGAGAGAGAGAGAGCAGCAGCAGCCTGGGGAGAGGGTTGGCAGTGGGCATCTGAGCCGAGCCCATGTGTAAATAATCTATAATATTTATATATATTTATATATAATTCTCTCTGTAATATATGTCATAGAATCTCTCTTGGGCCTGGGGTGAGAATGTCACATTAAGAAAACATGCTAAGACTGGCCATAAAAATGGATAATTTCCCAGACCTGGAAGACACAGTATGGGATGTAGAAGTGGGGGCAAAGAGAAGGGCATACACTCATTCACCAAGAGCCCCCCCTCAGCAGAGGGGCAAGAAGGAAGGCGGGGACAGTGGAAGGGGAGGAATGGGAGATTTGGGTTTTTCTTTAATAAAGTGATTTGAAAATGAAAGTGCTCCCCCCCCCCCCCCAAGGAAAATCATTTAGCAAGAGCAGTTTCATTCACGAGAATATAAAAACAGCCCTGTTCCGGGACTGTTGTAAAACGTGCTGCACAGCCTTTAACCCCAAAGGAAAAGCAACCCCCCCCCACCCCACCCCCCACAGCCTCTTCCTGCACATGCCCCTCCCCTCCCCCTAGAATAGGCTATAAGCGAACCCCATGCACCCTGCCCCCAGCACCGGAGAGGCAGTTCCCCCTCCACCAGAGTCCTGAGAGGGTCCCAGGGCAGCTCCTTGGTTCTTCTCCCTCTTCAGGGCGGGAAATGCAGGCCCCCACCAGACCTCTGGCCAGCAAGCCCCCTCCTGGCGTCAAGTCTGCTGGACTCCCTCCCAGTTTCGGCCACTGTTTCAGGGACCATTTGGCTTCTTCAGTGGAGGGGGGAGGAAGGGAGGGAGGGGAGAACGTGACTTCAGTCCACCTCTCCCAACCCCACGGGCCCTGAGCGAACAGGACCTGCATCCAACAGACCCGCTGGACTGGGTGGCCGCCCCGGTCCGGGCGAGGGGGGCAGACCATAGGCACAAAGGGGGTGAGGCTCAGAGGGGAAGTTGGTGAACTGAGACCGCAGGTGGTACAAGGCGAGGACCCGGGGACCCGGGGACCCGAGAGCATGCAAAGCCCCGAGGGCCTGCGGCAGAGTCCAGCGTGAGGGCTGGGCGGCAAGGGCGCACTTCCCGGAGCTCGTGGCTCAGGCCACGTTCCCAAACACACGAGAGGCCTTCAGCTGCGACAGCCGTGGAGAAGGTGACTTCGCCTCCCTGTGCTCACCATGCCCAGTCCTGGGTCCTCCAAGGACCAAGCCCAGGAAAGCCATTCTCCCTCCCCCCGGAAGACACGGGCCCCTGTCCTCGGCTGCATTTTAGGAGCACAGACAGATGGAAGTGCGAACTCCACGGGGGTGGGGTCATGGATGGACAGAAACACCCCGACTCTCAACCTCCTCATTCCAAAGAAATAGAAGTCTGGGGCGGGGGGGGGGGGGGGGGGGGGGGAGTTCTGTCCAGGGTCCGGGACGGTGCTCCCTTCCTGGCAGAGGAGAAAGTGGTAGGAGCCCTGACAAACTCTGGGTAGGACACCTGGCCTTGGACCCGGAGCCTTAGTCGGCCGCGAGGAAAGGCAACGAGGAAGCTCTCAGCTCCTCTCCCCTACCCAGACTGTCCCGGGGCCACTGCAGCGGGCAGGGCAGTGTGCCGTCCAGTCCACAGCTGCCGTGTCCTTTGCTCTACCCCGGCCCCGCCGTCAGGATCTCTCTCGGAGGCGCCGCGCAGAGGTCCCCACCGTGGCGGGAACTGGGTGTGGGAGAGCGAGCCATTCCAGGGGCGTACGCCTCGCTGTCCCCGTCCAGAAAGGAAGGAAGAATACTCTGATTCTCCTCTGTTCCTCCACAGGAGGCCTGGGGAGGGAGCGAGAACACCTGTGAGGCCCCCTTTGGAGTCCTGGGAGCCCAGAAGAAGGGGCGAAGGAGCCGCCTGCCCACGCTGCTCCTGAGCCAACAGCCCCCTCTGGCCGGGGCCTGGCAGCACCGGACTCTGCCCTCCACCCCACTCAACCCTGAGTCCCCAAGAAGTTATAAAAATGTAGAAAAGGCAAAGAGAAAAGTGTAAACAGCTCCAGAGAATCAGAGGGGGGATGGAGGGAGACACAGCCCTCATGCTTCCCCGTTGGGCCAGGACACCTGCATTCCATGTCCCCCCCTCAGGGCCAGGGCTCCCAGAGCAGGAGACAGAAGAAGGCAGAAAAGGGAAGCAAGAGCTGGAGCAGCCAGCCCCAGCCGGGCCCCTTCCCGGATCCTCGGATCCTCCTTCCAGCCGTGGGACAGTCCAGACGCCACAACAGGTGGCCATGTTTGTTCCTGGTCTCTTCGGGGACCTTCTGGTCTGTGGGCAGGCTTGATGTAAAGAATCGTGCTTGAGTCCTTGTGCGTTCCAGCTGCCACACGTACCTCCCCCGTGACTCCTGATCTCATAAGCCAGTTTTCACTGAGGGCAGACTCCACCCTCTGAGCACGTGTAGCTTTCGGTGGGTTCCCCTGTGCCCGTCGAGCCATACCGATAACCCCCGAGGTCCGTTCCTCATGGTGGGGCTGAGCTGGGGCCACAGCCAGAGAAAACGCAGAGTCGGGGAAAAGCAGGAGTGACATGGAGAGAGGAGGCATTCCCACAGCCACAGTCAAAGCTCCTGGAAGACGAATCAGAGCGTGAAGAGCTGAGATCCCCGTCGACGGCTACAAGGCGCTCTGGGCTCCTGTCCTGGAGACACACTGCAGCTTCATCCCCCCAGACCCAGAAGCCTGCAGCCAAGCAAAGTTCACGGCCATCTGGTAGCCTGGGCCGCAGTTCCCGGACCTGTGGTGTCTACAGCATGTGCCTGGATAAAATCCCACCTTGGCTTCTCCATTCTCCTGGCGAAGACAGGCAACTCCTGGGCTCCTCGTGGTCTTCTGCCCGGGTTTCAGCTGTACTGCTGGGGGAAGGGAGGGTGTTGTTGCAGCCAGGCCCCTCAGCCAGGAGTGGAAGGCTGGGCGTGGAGTGGGTGGAAGCTAGTTGTTAGCCTCGCCCTCCTCCTCATCAAAGGACTGCACACCTGAGGACGTGACATCGGAAACCTTCCGGCTGAGAGCAGTGGACATCTCGGGGTCTTCTCGTGGGGAAAGTGACTCCAGGTCCCGGCATCCCGCATCCTCTTCCTCCTCGGGGGCCAGCGGCCGCTTCTCCTCCTCAGCAGGGCCCCTAGCCAGGTCCGCTCCACCCACCCCCTGGGCCCAGTCAGTGTCTGCCCCCAGCAAAGGTGGCGGCTCCTGAGCAGAGTATCCGGAAGCATGCTGGGAAGGCCCCATTTCGTGCAAGCTAGGCTGCGAGTCATCAAAAGCAGGGCCAAGATAGGATCCTGTGGCCGGAGAGGCAATGAGGGACTGGTCGCTGGCTTCCCAGGCATCTGATGACCCCAGACAGTACATGCCCTGGGACACGTAGGAGTGAGGCCATCCATCCAGGGGAGCTTGAGCAAGGGCATCTGTAAAGAGAAGCATGGAAGTCGGCAGGGTTACAGAACGTCAAAGGCGGTAACAACATCCAAAGGATGAGAGGGAGACAGTGGGGAGGAGAGTAGGAAAGCTGAGATGAACGGAAAGGCTCAGAAGAACAGAGATGGACAGAGGTAGCCTAGATGGCAGGGGAGGCCTCTAAGGCCTGGGAGGAACCATCTCTCACCTTGACTCTCCATCAGCTCCTGGTAGTTGTCGCTGTAGTTGCAGCCCAATGGCTCCTGGGCGGAGTTGACGCTCATGTCCTCACCATCCATGGAAGACCAGGCCATGAGTGTGGCCTCGGAGATGGCAAACTGCTCCATGACACCTAGGAGAAGCACTGTGTCTTGGCACAAGATACCTCCAGGAGCCCTTAGACACATGCATGGGGTAGGGGGACACTGAGGCAGCGCTGTTCAATAGAAATATAACGCAAGCCACTTTTGTAACTTCAAATGTTCTAGTAGACACAGAAAAGGCACTTTAAAAAAAACAGGCGAAATTAATTTTTATAATATATCTTATTTAACCCAATATATTAGATTATCTTTCAACTCTTAATCTGTATAAAAATTATTAATGAGATTGTTTACAGTATTTTATTCATACGAGTCTTTGAAATCCAGTGGGTATTTTATACTGATTGCGTGTCTCCATTCAGACTGGCCACATTTCAAATTCTCAGTAGCCACCATGTGGCCAGTAGCCACTGTATTGGACAGCACAGACTGCATACACTCCCAAATAGGGCAAACCTCATGAGATTTCCCAGAAGATCAGATTAAGAATTCCTAGGGGCGCCTGGGTGGCTTAGTCGGTTGAGCGTCGACTTTCGCTTAGGTCATGATCTCACGGTTCGCGGGTTCGAGCCCCGCGTCGGGCTCTGTGCTGACTGCCAGCTCAGAGCCTGGAGCCTGTTTCAGTCTGTGACTCCCTCTCTCTCTGACCCTCCCCTGCTCATGCTCTCTCTCTCTCCTAGATATAAATAAAAATATTAAAAAAAAAAAAAAAAAGAATTCCTAGAGTTGGGGTGCCTGGGTGGCTCGGTTGGTTAAGCGACTGACTCTTGATTTTGGCTCAGCTCATGACTTCACAGTTGTGAGATCAAGCCCCATGTTGGGTTCTGGGCTGATCATGGAACCTGCTTAGGATATTCTGTCTCCCTCTCTCTCTGCCCTTCTCCCACTCATTCTCCCCCCCTCCCCATCCAAAAAATAAACTTAAAAAAAAGAATTCCTAGAGTTAGGGGTCTTCCGGTAAGATATCCAAAGGGAATGAAATGAGGAATTTCCAGAAGTTTATCTTTGGAAGGTTTTAAGAATGTTAGCTAGTACTAGATAGTCAAAGACAGAGGAATTTAAATGAGAGGGTTCGATTTCAACAGAGAATCCCCAAGGGAGCACCATGGGCTTGTAGGTCCACAGTAGTATCAAATGGAAAGGTCAAGAGGGGTACCTGGGTGGCTCAGTCGGTTGGGTGTCCAACTCTTGATTTAGTCTCAGGTCACGATCTCACCATTTGTGGGATTGAGCCCCGTATCAGGCTCTGCCCTGACAGCATGGAGTCCACTTGGAATTCTCTCTCTCCCTCTCTCTCTGCCCCTCCCCCCCCACGTGTGTGTACTCCCAAAAATTTAAAAAAAAGCAGAAAGTTCAAGAAATTGGAAGGAGAAGGGAGGGGGTGTAGACTAAGGAGGATGGGCAAACTGGGGAGACCCCTTTCTAGTCCAAGTCCTAAGTTGAAGTTTACATTGCCAGCTGCCCGAAACTACTCCCTACCCACTACATGTCTGGCTCCTCCCCACACAGATTGTTCTTCCACCATCCATACCACCAACACAGAGATACCTCGCTTCTCTTCTGGATGTTATTCTTCCTACATATCTTATTGAGATGTGTTAGAGGGGCTTGGCCACCATTGCAGATATGCTATATGCCTGTCTTACAGGGAAAGAAACCTCTACTGTATACCGCCCTCTCCTCACCCAGGCCCCTTGACCTTCTAGTGGTTGTCACAAGTAATGCACCGAGTAAGGGAGTCCACTACTAGAATGTGCTGAAGGGCAAAGGCTAGAAGGGATCCCCACAGCCTGTTCTTCTTTTTCCTCAAGAACCATGGATAGAGGGGGCCCTGAATGGTTCAGTCAGTTGAGCGTCTGACTCTGGATTTCGGCTCAGGCTATGATCCCAGGGTTGTGGGATGGAGCCCTGCGTCAGGCTCCGCACCGAGCGTGGAGCCTGCTTGGGATTCTCTCTCTCCCCCTCTGCCCCTCTACCCTGCTCTCATCTGCTTTCCCACCCCTCTTTCTCTCTCAAAAGGGAAAAAAAAAGAAACGGAAAACTAAAACAAAGAACATGGGTAGAAAGGAGAGACCTTCAGAGTCAGAGGCCCCTGCCTTTCTGTCCAGTGCCGACAGCCCTCCCACGTAGAAGAGAAGGCGATCTGGAACCGGTGGGCCCACAATCCCAGGTCATTCTCCTTAACTTCTGAGACGATACTGAAAATACGTTTGAGGACCCTTATCCAAATCAATTAAGTCCAAGTGCCTGAAATCAGAGCTGATTGGGAAATTCAGTCTCACGGTCATGATATGGATAGAGCAAGTCCTGCCAGAGGGCGTCAGGTTGGAAGGTCAGTCTCTGGCCATCCTGAAGACGTGTCTCTTGAGGGTCCCAAGAATAAGTACCTGCTAGGAAACGCGCCTCCTTCTCGCCATCGCTGAGGTCGGAGTAGGCATCGGTATCCCTGCGCACCGCCTCGTGGCTGTGTTGTGGCTGAACGGCTGGTGTCTTCCCCCAGCCCTGCCACTCGATCATGTGGGCCACCCGGCCTTGCCCCATGGCTGTGGGCTTCGTCACGTGGTCCTTCATGCTGCGAGAAATCCCTGAAGGGCCAGACATTCCCCACATCCTCCAGAATATCACATCAAGATATCACAGCACACCATACAAGACCTACCCCGTGTCCCTACCCGAGTCCCATGGGACTCCATCCAACGGGGAAAGGGATCCCCCCGGACTCCCCATGAGAGCTAACTTGGACAGGAGGGTTTGAAGGAAAGGGCAAATAGGTCAAGGGTGGGGAGTCTTCTTTAGGCCTGAAGGAGCAAGGAGACCGAGACCGGGAGTATGTGGGGATTCTCCTCTCTGGATGCGTCCCCAGCTCGGGAGTCTCACCTGAGAACGATGACTTGGCCAGGGCCCCGATGCCATAGGCATTAGAGTTTCGCTTAAGCTTCGGAAGAATGGAAGTGGTGTCCTCCATGGAGAGCTGGGATGGAGAATGTGGGAGGAGGGGCAGAGGAGAGTTCATGGTTTCCAGGAGGAAGGGTCTGAGCCAGGGCTGACGATGAGGGAACCATTCCTTACACCCAGGAGTCCCACGGATGCTCATCCCCCAGCTGCCCTTGAAAAGCATGGCAGGTAACAGGGAACCTAGAACAGCTGTGGTCTGTGGCCAATCTAAGGGAGAACATGAGAGAGAGGAGCTCGGGGAAATAGGGAGGCCGTTTGGGGGGGGTGCACTCACATTGATGCCATCCCAGGAGAAATCAGTTCGGGTTTGCTGTGAGGAGAGAGGAAAAGGAATGGGGATCACAGGCGCCTCCAGAAATGTAAGCAGTCCCCACCCCCGCCCCCACCCCAGGGACTTCCAGAAGTGTGTGAAGTAGAGAGGGTTTTTTTTTTTTTCCCCTTAGCTTAACACAGGGAATTAGGATCTCAGTGTGGAACATTTGGCCTGTGTTTTGAGGAGAGGAGGAGAAATGTTCTGCAAAAGTGTCAGTCTGAAGGAGTGTCTAGAATGTTCTCTTGGAATTTAGGAAGAGAATTCAGGGATCAGGCAGCCGGGCGGCTTTGCTCAGGATGGTCTCTGGGGTCTTCTAAAGCCCTCTGGCTAGGGGGGCGGCCGGCACGGGGCCTCACCTCGGTGGACGGCCGGTGGAGGCTGCTCCCGTGCAGCGAGCTGGTGCTGTCCATGTGGATTTGGTCGACATCCTTCAGGCCCTTCCAATCCACTGCGATCACCTCATTCCCTGCAGCGACCACAGTTCCTTGCTCTAGCTTCAGCCTCCCTAGGTCCCAGCCCACAGGCCCCTCCCGGGTCTCAGAATGCCGAGCCCACACAGGGGCAGCCCCTCCGGACCCCTCCTTTCCCTCCAGCCGCTGCTCCTTCTGATGGCACGGGCCCTCCTCTCCCCCAACTTTTTGGGAGGGACACACTGTAAGGCTGAGCCAAAATACTCCCTTAGAGCTCAACCAAGAATAGCACATTCAGAGAAAAGTGTTATATGGCCTTATTTGTTGTTGTTGAAATGGAGGGGATCTGTGGTGGGGCTTTAGCAGGAAAACAGTTCTTTATTCTGCCTGGAGGAATCCGTGACTTTTTCTGCAGGGACAGTAAGAGAGCTGTGCTTCTCATGTATTATGTTCCTGCAAAGAAGGGCAGAACTTCTTTAGGGGCGGGCATCTCTCCATGGGGGCTTCATGGCGTGTACCTTGGTGCTGACGAATTTGACAGGAAGGAGAGGTGGTGGGGACAGAGGCAGGAATTGGGTGTGTTCACCCAGAAATGGTGACAGGAGAGGAAGCCAAGACCGAGCTGTGATCTTCCCTCACCGTTGGGGAGGCAGGTGATGGACAGGAGAGGAGCAGAGGGGTCGGAGGAGGAGAGAAGGGGAGTTTCTAAACCAGTAACTAAAAGGATAGACATTCAAGGCAAAGAGAAGACAAAAGACGGTGGGAAGTGTGGACAGGGTTTGAGGGCTGGAAACTGGGGGCCAAGGATGATAACTGTTCAGGTTGCAGGGCGGTGCCTCTCCGGGAGGGAGGGAGGGAGGCAGGCGAGGCGGGGCAGGAGCCGCTTGAGCAGTTGGAAAGGGGCTCGAGGATCCACAAAGCGGTGGGAGCATTTGACCTCATAGATCCTTCGTGCACGTGGAGTTTTGTGACTCTGAATCCGGGGTTAGGAGCCCACTCTAGAGAAGGGGTGAAGGGAATGGGGTCTTGAGCATGAGGAGGCATTCAGCACGCATCCCCACCGCGAGTGCAGAAGGGACTGTGGTTAACGGGTGGGAAGGAGGTCGGGCCCCTCCTAAGCGGGCCCCTCTCCCTCAGGGCTACAGGGGAGTGAGGAGATGGGTCAGACCAGGGGCTGTGGCCGGCAGGGAAGAGGAAATGGACCTCTGGGCGTAGAGAGCAGGAATGGGGCGGACAGAGAGGAAAGGAGGGATGAGAAGGGCAGAGCAAGAGGGGAGGGGGCGGTGGCCTTTGTAGGGGAGGGAGAGCTGAGTCAGAGCCCTGGGGGGCAGGGAGGGGGGGAGAGAGAACCCCGGGAAGAGGTGAAAGCAGAGGAGGGGGTATCCATGGAAATAAACCGGGTCTCAGAGAAATCAGGCTTCCGGAGAGTGAGTTTGTTTGTAATAATAATACGAATTACTCTCTCAGCCTGAGGTCACTGGGTCGTGTAGGCGGGAGAAATGGGGAGTTGGAATGGGAAAAATTGGGGGTTTGAGGAGAGGGTGGGACTCATTCGTTGAGCTGTGAGCGTGGAGTGGGTGCGTGGGGCGGGGGGCGGGGGGTGTAAGAGAGGCAGAGGCAGAGGGGAGAGAAGACTCGGGAAGCGCCCGTGCCCGCCCCCAGTCCAAGGTAAATAAAGAGGCGGCGCCGCCCCGCCAGCCCCCGCCGACAGGTGCAGGTCGCGGCTCCACGGGCCGGCCCCACCCTCCTGGGAGCCGGCTCCCGACCCCAGCCCGTCCCCCTAAACCCCCGCCTCCCCGCGCCCCCCGTCCCTTCCCTGCGCCCCGGCCCGGCCCGGCCCCATTTTCTCCGGGCGTGGACCCCATTCCCCTCCCCGAGGCACCAGGCGCATCCCGCCCCCGCCCCGGAGGGAAAATGCACGTGAACAATGCGAATCGGGGGAGGCAGGAACGACAGAAAAAGGCAACAGAGAGGGAAAGAGGTGGGAGCAAAACACCAAGCCAGATCGAGGCTGTGGGGGGCGGGGGGGGCGTGAGAAAGACTCCGGCCGGGGCGGAGGCCGGGGGTCCTCGGAAGGGGGCTGCCCCAGAAACGGAGGGGGAGAGGCGCCGGGGGAGGGCAGAGCCGAGGCGGAGGGCCCGGAGGCGGCGGGCGAGGGGACGCGGGCGTCGGGAGAGCGGCGGCGGAGGGAG